CTGGCTAGAGGCAGTGGGTCTATACTTTCTGTGTCCCCACACAGCCCCGGAACACAGCGGGACTTCACAGTCAAATCAAGAACTATTTCAATGACCGACCATGGCTGAGAGGTCAAAGTAGCCTCAAACTGATTTAGGAAATGATATTGGAAGTAAAGGTGACCAGCCAGATGCTGGACAAAGAAATATAGATTTGTGGATATGTGTGTGTGTTGTCCATTATAGATGATGATGACCACTCTTTTCCATCAAGTATAAGTACGAAGATGACTGATGAGGCCGATGCGGGCCCAAAAAGTTCTTGGACAGTGAGGACAGGGAATGAGCGTTGTGCCAGGGAGGGAATCTCCTACAGTCTCCTTTCTGTCCATCCTTTTCTTAATCAGTCTTGCTGTTCTGTTTGCATCACATTTAGACGTGCCCTTGTGTAGAGCTGCACTCCATGCATTTCGGTCTTGAGAGGCAGCCTCCCAATTGGTGTCATTCATCCCAAATGCTTTGAGTGAAGACTTCAAGATGTCCTTAAAGCGTTTCTTTTGCCCGCCTTGGGAACGTTTCCCATTTTGCAGCTCACCATAGAAGAGTTCTGTTTTGGGGGGGCAGGGGGAGCCTGTTATCTGGCATGCGTGTCACATGACCAAATCAACGAATCTGATGCTGCATCAGTGGAGTGTAGATGCTGAGCATGATATATATTTGTATATACAGACAGACAAATAGACAAACAAAGAGACAGACAGAGAGATAGGTAGATTAGATAAACAAATGGACAGAAATATAGACAGACCGATGGACAGACGGATGGATGAACAGACAGACAGATAGATAAACAGACAGACAGATAGATAAACAGATAAACGGACAGACGGACAGACGGACGGACGGACGGACGGATGGACGGGCGGGCGGGCGGGCGGGCGGGCGGGCGGGCGGGCGGGCGGGCGGGCAGACAGGGCGGGCGGGCGGGCGGACAGCGGGCGGGCGGGCGGGCGGGCGGGCGGACGGACGGACGGACGGACGGACGGACAGGACAGACGGACGGACGGACGGACGGACGGACGGACGGACGGACAGACAGACAGACAGACAGACAGACAGACAGACAGACAGACAGACAGACAGACAGACAGACAGACAGACAGATAGATAGATAGATAGATAGATAGATAGATAGATAGATAGATAGATAGATAGATAGATAGATAGATAGATAGATAGATAGATAGATAGATAGATAGATAGATAGATAGATAGATAGATAGATAGATAGATAGATGGATAGATAAATAGACACAGAAAGATGCAGACAGACAGGTAGACAGACAGATAAACAGACAGATAAACAGTCAGATAAATAGACAGACATATACTTGTATTTAGATTAAAGGACAGACAGGTAGATAAACATGTTTAGACATAGATTAAAAAACACAGATAAACAAAGAGACAGGTAGACAGAAAGAAAGAGACAGACAGATAGATGGATGGTTGGACAGACAGACAGACAAGCAGGCAGACAGATAGACATACAAATAGATAAAATACATACATTGTAGCTTCTTCCTAAACACAATGGTTGTGAACTCATTGTCTTCAAAACCCAGTGCTGCTGTCAGGCTGTCACTCCCACCATAGACCTCGTCACGCAAAGGTGTGGATCTGAAGAAGATGTTTCATAGGGTGATGAAACAACCGCAACACATGACACAATTTAGAACCATTATAATTCCTCCTTTCAACAACACATGACACAATTTAGAACCGTTATAATTCATCCTTTCAACAACACACGACACAATTGACGAACCGTTATAATTCCTCCTTTAATTCACTTTGGGTACTGACCTGGAGTCGCTTGCCCATGTCAACACTCAAGAGATGAAAAATTTTTTCTTTCCTTTATCACAGTCCATACTATGTGGTGTTGGTAGTCATGTCTATCCACAACCTTCTGTCTTGTGTACTGTCAGTCCTTACACAGATGATCTTCCATACCATGTGGCGTTGGTAGTCATGTCTATCCACAACCTTTTGTCTTGTGTACTGTCAGTCCTTACACAGATGATCTTCCATGCCATGTGGCGTTGGTAGTCATGTCTATCTACAACCTTCTGTCTTGTGTACTGTCAGTCCTTACACAGATGATCTTCCATACTATGTGGCGTTGGTAATCATGTCTATCCACAACTTTCTGTCTTGTGTACTGTCAGTCCTGACACAGATTACATTCCATACCATGTGGTGTTGGTAGTCATGTTTATCTACAACCTTCTGTCTTGTGTACTGTCAGTCCTTATACAGATGATCTTCAATGCCATGACGGTTTTTTTAATTAGAACGTCTTAAGATATAACTAGTTTCAGTATCAAAGTTTCATCATCGTCATTAGTTTCCCCTCTGCCACTAAGTGTTGTGGAGAGGAACAGTTTAAAATCCATTGCTTGAAGGGCAGCAATGGCTATTGTCATTCCATGTGGATGAAAAAGCTATTTGTCATCAATCCATCTTCTCCTTGGGTGGCCTCTTGCTTTCACATCAGATCTTTTCATGTGCAGCACCTGTGTTGGTAGTTGTTTTGGCTGCATTATATCAAAGAATGGCTACTTTAAATTAGAACAGCTTGAGATTTAACTAAATTAATCATAAAATATTAACTGCTTTAAATTAAACCAACCATATTTTTATCTGGATTTCTGGATAGGAAATCAAGTTTCAGATAATAAAGAAGTTGAAATGAATTATCGTCGCTAGATGAGGTATCCCTGTGTTAGAATAGTCAACCCAAATTGTGGAAGCATGGCTGAATGGGCTTAAAACTCACCTGTCACGGGTATAGTAATCCCCGATTCTGCTAAGGCTGCCTCGAGCACTCCCAATGATCAGATCTGTACAGTCCATTGGCTGCAGGCTCTCTGAGGGATAATGAACACATATCCATTTCACAGTAAAATTACATGCAACACTTGGGACAGAGTTACATAAACAACTGACCAACACCAAAACTGCTGACATGGTGTCGCAGAGTATTTAGATCAGATGAGCACAGAATAAAAGTTTGTCCCAGCACAGCCGTGCATTATTGGAATACATGATACTTGAGGATGCTAAGGTTGTCATAGCAAAACTTTGCATTGTTGGAACACACGATACACCGGGATGCTAAGGTAGTCTAAGCACAACTGTGCATTAAAGACATTCTGGTGATAAGCCTTCATCAGTAAAACAACAAGAATCAAAACACATCACACACATATGTATACAAACAAATTATATCCTATTATATCTCTTCTCTGTCCTATATTCTCCTGTCTGCTCCTGTCGCAACATTGCCTTAAAAATTTGAATATTTTGCAATGACTAGAGAAAGACATCAGTGTTTAGCACTTCACAGCTACAGAGAATGCCTTAAAACAATACAAGCATCCAAACTGTTCACATTGGTGACTCAAAATAGAACAAACATAATTTCAGTCCCCCAGCAAACCGGAGGTTACACTAACTCATTATAAGAGACACGGACACAGACATAAACTGTAATAAGGAAATGTTTCACCACACAACCTCTACCACAGAAGTCAAATGGACCCTTTTATTACCCCTTCAGGTGTACTGAGAATATAGGGCTAGACCTACATGTTATAGACTGATCAGCACTTGGTGGGTGAACAAGTCAACAACACACCAGCTGCCTTTGCTCCAAGTGACTACTTGGTACCTATTTAAGGCTGGATCAGCTAAGGAGCCAAAGCTATTTTGTTTAAATAACTGGCTCCTATCAGATACGTACCCATGACTTTCAAATCCGCTGACGAGCGTCTAGCTACTACACCAAGGCCTAACCTCTTCTAGCTCATAAAAACCTTCTTTTTTTTTTCAACATAAAAAAAAAAATATTTATGTTGTAATCTATTAGAAGCAAAAATTAAATAAACTGTATAATGCCAAAACTGGCATTGTGTGCCCGTTATTCTGTTGAACACTTTATGTTCACACGACATACCCTTACACTGCAGGTGACAATTTAATGTGTCACCTTACACAGTTTGAAGAGATATCATTAAATAGGCACACTAGTAGTAAAGGAAATTAGAGTATCGCTAGGCTAGCATACTTACCTACCAGACCTGAGATCATATGTTCAAATCTTCATGGAAGCAGATTGTTAAAATGTACCTAGTCTCCCAGTAAAGATGTGTATCAAAACGTTTTCTGGGAAAGCAGAGCAGCCCAGACACTGACTACAGCAGTCATACAGTACCCATAAGTCTACATAAATACGGGAGTAGCACCATATGTCGAACTTGTTCAAGGTGTGTATGGGGGTCCATTGGAAGGCAGTGGCGCAAAGGACATTTCTTCTGCTTCTTCTTTTTCTTCTTCTTCAACGCCAGCAGAGAGTCCTGATTATTTGTCCACTTCTAAAACTGAGTTTTATGTGCACGTACGTTTTACAGTTGTGGCTTATTTGTATGCAGACTTGGTTAACTACCTGTGAGGCAGATGAACTCAAGATTTGAAGAAAAAAAGGCATTTGATGCAACACTCATACTGTCATATATATAACGAGTGTGTGTGTGTGTTTGTGCGTGCACATGTGCATGTATATGTGTATCTGTGTGTCTTCTTTCGAAGTTGGAGTGCATCTGTCTAAGAGACTAAGAACCAACAGTCTGCACATAAAAAAGCCAAATCTGTAAAACGGTTCCACATACAAAACTCAAGTCCTGGAACAACACCAACAAAAGTCCATACATGGACACACAACCAGGACTTTCTGAAGGAGTTTACTGCCAGTAAACTGAAAAAAACACACAAACTAACAAACACACATACAAACAAACAAACACACTCAAACACACAAACAAACACACACAACAAACACACATTGTTATAGACCAGTCTGCACATAATGGCTGATGTGGTCAACACCTGCCGGCTGCCTTTACTTCCCTGGTATCTATTTTGTGTGAGGTTGATCTGTGTGGTGGTGGGGGCTGCAACTACAGGATTTGTTTGTCAGCCCAGTAAAGAAGCAAGTTACCTTGTGGTTTAGATGGCTCTCCTGGCTGAGTGTCTCCTTCACTGGCCCGTTTCCTCCTCCTACCATCATTAGGGCGCCTAGGACAGTTGGAGAAGCAGTATTTGCTGCTAGAGGCTATTCGCCTAGCGTGCTGGGACAAGCTATTATCCTCATCACGTTTGGATCCAACAGATGTCAATAAGTGGATGCATGCTGGCACATTGAGTGCCTGGTCCATGGTATCTTGTGTGTCCAGAAGCCTTGAGAAGACTACCAGGGTGATCCCATTGACCACCTGGCCTGAGATAAGAGTCAGATCATTGTTGGAGTCCTCTGACGGATTGACTCTACCTGTGGCCCACCTGTGGAATACAAAGGACTTGGATGAATCTCCGTGGCGGGGATCTACTTTCTTGAGACAGTAAACAAAAATTATGGCTCATGTGTTTGCGAAAGTACTTCATTATTCTGAGACATATGGCTTGAGAGACAGTAAACAAAAAATATGGCTCATGTGTTTGCGAAAGTACTTCATTATTCTGAGACATATGGCTTGAGAGACAGTAAACAAAAATTATGGCTCATGTGTTTGCGAAAGTACTTCATTATTCTGAGACATATGGCTTGAGAGACAGTAAACAAAAAATATGGCTCATGTGTTTGTGAAAGTACTTCATTATTCTGAGACATATGGCTTGAGAGACAGTAAACAAAAAATATGGCTCATGTGTTTGCGAAAGTACTTCATTATTCTGAGACATATGGCTTGAGAGACAGTAAACAAAAAATATGGCTCATGTGTTTGCGAAAGTACTTCATTATTCTGAGACATATGGCTTGAGAGACAGTAAACAAAAAATATGGCTCATGTGTTTGCGAAAGTACTTCATTATTCTGAGACATATGGCTTGATTGCAGCTATGGGTAATAAGGCAGCAAACTGCTTTGCGGTGATTTCAACAGTAGTATGGAGAACCAACTTTAGGGATTTTAATGACTGGATGTGATAGTAATCATCGTTCTTCATTTTTCAGTTAATGCCAATCATTGCATAATATTTGTTTATTATTGCTACGTTGCTTTGTATGTCCATCCTTCATCTTTTTATAAGTGCTAATCAATGCATACATGTTTGTTTTTTATTGCTACTGTGCCTTGTATGTCCATCCTTCTTCATCTTTCTATGAGTGTCAATCAATGTATATTAATTTGTTTATTACATATACTGTTACTGGTGAGGTTTTATGTCTGCCAGTACACAACAGTGTGCAGTACTGGTACCCTTTTCCTTCAATGATGCTGTAATGGGCATTTTGTGCTGGCTATCAGAACCCTTTTTTATATTTAACAAACAGAAGGCGGCTATTTTTAACCCCTCAGGGTTTCCCATCTGGTTATTGCTGTCAATAAAATAGTGATTTTAACTCTTCCAGTACGAATCAGCTCATCAAATTTTAATTAGTTAACTCTATGCATAAGGTTGTGAACAGACATGACCATCAATGACACATGGTATGGAAGATCATCTGTGTCAGATTTGATTGAAAGTACACCAGACACAAGGTTGTGAATAGACATGACCACCAAAGACACATGGTATTGAAGATAATCTGTGTCAGATTTTATTATAAGTACACCAGATAGAAGGTTGCGGAGAGATATGACTTTAAAGGCTACACATCATGGACTATAAGAAAATGCTGTGGTATATATTTCCTAAATTCTTATCTTACCAGCTCTCTTTACTTAACTAATAGCCCCTGGAATTCTATTTATTTGTCTGATGGATACATTCTATTCTCTAATTAACTGACAACACCTGCACTACTGACCTCTCTGATGGATACATTCTATTCTCTAATTAACTGACAACACCTGCACTACTGACCTCTCTGATGGATACATTCTATTCTCTAATTAACTGACAACACCTGCACTACTGACCTCTCTGATGGATAGATTTTATTGTCTAGTTTACTGACAACACATGAAGCTCTATTTACCTGTTTGTCAGATTGATTATATTCTTGAATGAACCCTCAACTACTGAAGCTAAATTTAACTGTCTAATAGATAGGTTAAATTCTCTGGTAAAAAAAAACAACTGAAGTTCTATTACCTGTCTGTCAGATAGATTCTATTCTTTTATAACTTCACAATTCCTTCAGCTTTACTTACCTGTCTGTCAGATAGATTCTATTCTTTTATAACTTCACAATTCCTTCAGCTTTACTTACCTGTCTGTCAGATAGATTCTATTCTTTTATAACTTCACAATTCCTTCAGCTTTACTTACCTGTCTGTCAGATAGATTCTATTCTTTTATAAGCATTCCTTCAGCTTTACTTACCTGTCTGTCAGATAGATTCTATTCTTTTATAACTTCACAATTCCTTCAGCTTTACTTACCGGGTCAGATGATTCTATTCTTTAAACTTCACAATTCCTTGCTTTACTTACCTGTCTGTCAATAGATTCTATTCTTTTATAAACTTCACAATTCCTTTCAGCTTTACTTACCTGTCTGTCAGATAGATTCTATTCTTTTATAACTTCACAATTCCTTCAGCTTTACTTACCTGTCTGTCAGATAGATTCTATTCTTTTATAACTTCACAATTGCTTCAGCTTTACTTACCTGTCTGATAAATAGGTTGAGCCACGGCTTCTCACCCAGCCAACTATGATATCACTGTCCGGCTGCAAATATTTGACAAAGCAAACAGTTAAACAAAATATATCAGGGCCAAACACCAAGTATATGTGTGGGTTACTATACTGGAGTCAGTACATGTGTGGGTACTATACTGGAGTCAGTACATATATGGGTATTTTAGTGGAGTCAGTCTGTGTGTGGGTATTATATTGGAATAAAAATGTGTAGGTACTATATTGGAGTCAAATGTGTAGGTACAAATACTGGAGTCAGACACTGGATCAGTGTGTGTGGTTACTATACTGGAGTCAGTACTGGAGTTAGTGTGTGGGTACTGGAGTCAGTATGTGTGGTTACTACACTGGAGTCAGTACGTGTGTGGTTACTACACTGGAATCAGTACGTGTGTGGTTACTACACTGGAATCAGTACGTGTGTGGTTACTACACTGGAGTTAGTACGTGTGGTTACTACACTGGAATCAGTACGTGTGTAGTTACTACACTGGAGTCAGTACATGTGTGGGTACTATACTGGAGTCAGTCTGTGTGTGGGTACTACACTGGAGTCAGTCTGTGTGTGGGTACTACACTGGAGTCAGTCTGTGTGTGGGTACTACACTGGAGTCAGTCTGTGTGTGGTTACTACACTGGAGTCAGTCTGTGTGTGGGTACTATACTGGAGTCAGTCTGTGTGTGGGTACTACACTGGAGTCAGTCTGTGTGTGGGTACTATACTGGAGTCAGTCTGTGTGTGGGTACTATACTCTTACCATCAACTGATCCTGGGAAAATCCTAGACCGAAGTACTGATCCACATCCAGTTGTACTGCTACAGAAATACTGATTCTGTCAGTGACTGGGTCATAGGTCCAGGAGACATTATACAGACAGTCAGAGGGCCATGAACAGGATCCATCACATGAATTGGGTGTCAGCTGAGATCTTGGGTCGGTGGTTCTTTCTCCATTAGGAACCAGACTTGTTGCATCAGGTGCACTGCTAATTGTATCAGAGACAAGACCTGTTGCATCTGAGACAGGACTAGTTGTATTGTCAGTAAGACGTGTTGTACCAGGCACACTGCTTGTTGTACCAGGGACACTGCTTGTTGTACCAGGCACACTGCTGGTTGTACCAGGGACACTGCTGGTTGTACCAGGGACACTGCTTGTTGTACCAGGGGCAAGGCTTGTACCAATGTTTGATGCAACACTGTTGTTTCTGGCAGGTTCAGACATCCTTGTGCCCTGACATTTGTTGAAACAAAACTTCTCTGGAGATGACCATTTCTCGGAGTGATACATAAATGAATTGTCCTCATTCCTAGTTCCCTTGGCAGTCAACAAATAGATGCATCCGATCAAATTCAGGGGCAGGTCCTGGGAGTCCGAGGTGAGTATAGACCGTGTGAACATCACTGATGTAATCCCACTGACCGTCTGCCCAGAGATTTCTGTGAGGTCTTGTCTAATGTCCTCCTCCGGCTGTCTGTGGCCAGTGGCCCATCTGGGAAATGAAAAAACTAAAATGAAGTCTTTGATGAATTAAACTCTATTCAATATATTATAAAATTGTGTAAAAATTATGGTTTAAAGTTGAAGCCTCAAGATTAACAATTCTATTGTCCAGAGAGCACCATAAAAAAGCCGCATTTTCTGAGTTGATGATAGCTTTGTCTACAGTTGCCTCTTGGGCTACCGTTGACTATCACTCCCCTGCCAATATGCAAGAAAATCATCAGCAAATGTCAACATCCTTCCAACACCTAGTGCTTCAAGTCTGCAGTCTTGCTTGTATGCACATTAAAGAGCACTGGTTAAATTGCAGAGCCCTGGGGTAGTCCCGGGGTGATATTACATGGCTCTGAGGTCCATGTACCCAGACAAAGGGCAACCATACATGAATGCAGGACAGCTGCTATCCAGTTCACAAGCCAGGGACAAACCCCCTTCTCCATGAGTGCAGATATCAAAATATCATATCTGATTCTATTGTAGGCATCCTCAAGATCAAGTGCTGCCACAACTGTCTCCTGTCTGACTCTGTTGTAAGCATCCTCAAGATCAAGTACTGCCACAACTGTCTCCTATCTGACTCTGTTGTAAGCATCCTCAAGATCAAGTGCTGCCACAACTGTCTCCTGTCTGACTCTGTTGTAGGCATCCTCAAGATCAAGTGCTGCCACAACTGTCTCCTGTCTGACTCTGTTGTAGGCATCCTCAAGATCAAGTGCTGCCACAACTGTCTCCTGTCTGTTCCTGAACTCTTCATTAACATCAAAAGTAAAAGTAGCTGCATTAGACCATGTACCTTTTCCTGGCCGGTAGCTACCCAAAAGTTTTCCTTCTCCTAGATGACCCAAAAGTTTTCCTTCTCCTAGATGACCCAAAAGTTTTCCTTCTCCTAGATGACCCAAAAGTTTTCCTTCTCCTAGATGACCCAAAAGTTTTCCTTTTCCTAGATGACCCAAAAGCATTTGTAGTTTAACAACAATAATCTTATCTAGCACATTGCTGAAAAAATATTATGTAGGGAGATAATCCTGACACCACTGAGTCTGGAATGATCTTTGCCTGGTTTTGGAAGTGGGATCAGGCATCTGTGTACCCAATCCTGGGGTACTGAAGCTGTTCTGATGCTCTGGTTGAAGTGTAATGCTATCTCCCTCAAGTCTTCATCACTTAGGCTCTTTATGTGGGCATACTTGACTCCATCTGGAACCGGTGCAGTGTCTTTTGCTTTTTGCAATATATGTTTTTTATATCCTCCACCCTAATGATTTCCTGAAAAATAATTATAATTTATTGTATTACACAGATTATCTCTAACTGAATTTGTAAGCTGCCTGTCTTTATGATCAGTTTAAGCTATAAATCTCTTTGATAATGCTTCACCTTTCTCTTTGTCTATTGTCATTGGCATACCATTATCAGTGTATATAAGCCCTGTTGCGATAGGCCATTTAGCCTTTTTTTTTTTTGCATCTGCTGCACAATGCTTGAACTCTTCTTCTTTTTCTTTTCTAACTCTTTCTAACCTCTAGTAAGGTGCCTTTTTCTGAACTAGCCTCTCTACACCCTCTTCTAACCAGTAAGGTGCCTTTTTCTGAAATTTCTTAACTGCTGCATACTTTGCTCTTCATGTTTGTTCTACTTCTTGTGTCCACCATTGATGCTGCACAAAAGCAGAGGTGGTAGTTGTGCTGCATAACTTCTGTTAAAGGCGTCCAAGAAGGGTACTGTCCCTCTCATACTTAAAAGTCTTGAGCGTTCTCACAGCCCTGATCTTGCTATTTTTAGAAATCATGACTGTGCATGGCATATGGTCACTCCCATGATCTTCTTGAGCACTCCTGTGTGTGTCCAGCACTGCTGACTGGGTAACAAAAGTCAAATCAGTGGCCGTGTCTGCATCACCAGGTTTCATTGCCATTTTAGTCGGCCTACCGTCATTTATACAGACTACGTCTGCATCCACCATAGCCTCTGCTAAAGCATTTCCTTGTCTTTTTTCCCCACTACTGTCCCATGATCTGTTCCACCCATTGAAAGTCCCACAAATGAGAAGCCTATTAATAGGGATTTCCTCCAACTCTTTGAGCTAGTCCTAATGTTCCTTTGTGACAAGAGAGTCAACTGCAGCATAAATATTAACTATATTCAAGTTTGTGCCCCCATTATCTATCTGTATACCCTAAACCTCCAGTGTACAATGATTCCACTGGTCCAGGTCAAGAACCACATGTTTCACCCCATTCTTCACCAGCAGACATTGCCCATGCCTCCCCTGTCCGGCAGGATTTATATAACTAATGTATCCAGGACACTCAAATATTTCTATATTTAATTCCTGCATCATAATGATATGAATGTCATAAATCAGTCTCTCCAGAACAGATCCTCTCTGCTTGGCACTACGACAATTCCAGTAGCCCACTCTAATATGCTTTAATCCCAGATGTTGTTTTTCGCCTGACTTTCCGGGCTCCAGCTATCTCATTTCTATGCAGTCTTCTCTCTCCATTTTCTCGTCTTTTCCTCTTTACACACTCTCCATTGCCACACTCTATAGCTCTGGCGGTGATTTTTAAAAATTATTAAATACAAAATCCATTGAAAGTATACTTTCAATGCAGTAAGTTAAGGGTCACTCTAGTATTGCCTGCTTGCTAGGGAAGAATCAGGAAATGTCTTAAAGGTGTCCATATGCCTGGCGCCGCACCACCCGTTAACCAGAGGCTCCACATTCACGACTGTATATCCTCCAGTAATTCAACAAATAGGCATGCAGGTACACGGTAGGCTTAGGGTTTGTTATCGAGGTTGTCTCCTCTAGATCTGTTGTGTTTTGTGCCTCTTCTGTCATTAACTTCCCTACGGCATCCAGCAGTAAAACACATTGCCCTCATGTTTGAACTGGTAAGAGGTTTTGATTTATTTTTTGATGCAAACTGCTGGTTCATTCCCTCTCCTGCAGACTCTGACTTGAAAGGAAACAGCCATAATTGGTCACCAGTTATGACATGTTTGTTATGGAGGCAGTGCGTCTATTCTTTGCCCTCCTGAAGGAAATCAGAGTGCACAAATGAAGGAAATCAGAGTGCACAAATGAAGGAAATCAGAGTGCACAAATGAAGGAAATCAGAGTGCACACATGAAGGAAATCAGAGTGCACACATGAAGGAGATCAGAATGCACAAATTAAGGAAATCAAAGTGCATACATGAAGGAAATCAGTGCACACATAAAGGAAGATGGTATAAGTGAGTGGGTGATAGGGGAGAGTAGGCAAACAGTGGTAAAAGTGAGTGGGTGATAGGGGAGAGTAGCCAAACAGTGGTATAAGTGAGTGGGTGATAGGGGAGGGTAGGCAAACAGTGGTATAAGTGAGTGGGTGATAGGGGAGAGTAGGCAAACAGTGGTATAAGTGAGTGGGTGATAGGGGAGGGTAGGCAAACAGTGGTATAAGTGAGTGGGTGATAGGGGAGAGTAGGCAAACAGTGGTATAAGTGAGTGGGTGATAGGGGAGGGTAGGCAAACAGTGGTATAAGTGAGTGGGTGATAGGGGAGAGTAGGCAAACAGTGGTATAAGTGAGTGGGTGATAGGGTAGGGTAGGCAAAAAGTGGTATAAGTGAGTGAGTGATAGGGGAGGGTAGGCAAACAAGGGGACATAAGTCGACTGCCCTGCTACACGTAGACTGTTCATACTGGTTACACATATACTGTATGAGGACTTCAAAGGAAACGAGGATGTAAATGATGATTATGAATTGTAAAAATATGTGTTATGATTATATGAAAAAAGCAAGCAGGATAAGGAAATAAACGAACGTAGTTAAAGAGAAAACAGAAACAATAGATTAAGTAAAGAAAGAACACGAGAAGAAATAAAGTAAAAAATGTATTGCAAGTGATAAAAAATACAGAGATAAGTAAAAAATATTTTGCGTAAGCAGACAAAGAAAGACAGTCAAAAAGAAGACTAAATTGACAGAAAAGAGGGTACTAAGACAGAAAAAAAATAGCAAGATTTAGAGAAAAGAATAAGATAAAATGCATACAGAAGAGATGGTTCAAAGAAAGCAAGCAAGGAAAGATGAGAGACAAAAAAAATGAAAAAGTAAGACACGTAGAGATTACAACAAATGAGAAAACAAAAGACAGACTCACCTGTCTGACAAATAGGTGCCGCCATCAGGTTTGACCCAGCCTACCACCATGTCACTGTCAGGCTGCAGTAGTAAATATTCCAAACATTTTTAGTCTTGATATATAAATATCTTCATCTATCTTACTTGTATCGAATTATTTGATCAATCAATACTATTATATAATCAAACAAATATCAAAACTATTTAGTCAATAAAAATATATAGTAAAACATTCCAGGTTGTTAATAAAAGAACCAAAATTATTCATTCAAACAACCAAAGCTATTTATTCAAAGTACTAGTGGTAAATGACGGATGTGAGTCATGGACTATCTCTCAGTCCTTAAGAAAGAGAATAGGGGATTTTGAGCTGAAATGCTATAGAAAGATTCTCACAATATCTTGGACAAAGAAGATGAGAAATATCGACATCTTAAAAGATCTGAACATCTAGGAAGATTGGCTAATAAACAGCATCCTTTCTCTAAAGCTGAAATATTTTGGTCATATCAAGCGCCACGACGCATTAGAAAAAAATTATAGCAGAAGGCATGGTACCAGGAAGGAGGGGCAGGGGCCGACCGACACGAAGATGGGCACAGGATATAAGTGACTCCTTGAGTGTGAAAGTTCATGAGGTGGGAGAACTGGCGAGAGAGCGAGTTTCTTTCAGGCAGACTGTGATGAGAGCGACGTTCTGCAAAGGACCTGCTACATGATGAGTAGTAAATGAAATTATCAAAACTATTTAATTAAACAAAATCATTTTGTGAAACAACTAAAACACTTTATTCATGCAACAAAACTGTTACATAAACCATGCAATTAAACACTTTATTCATGCAACAAAACTGTTACATAAACCATGCAATTAAACACTTTATTCATGCAACAAAACTGTTACATAAACCATGCAATTAAACACTTTATTCATGCAACAAAACTGTTACATAAACCATCCAATTAAACACTTTATTCATGCAACAAAAACTGTTACATAAACCATCCAATTAACACACTTATTCATGCAACAAAACTGTTACATAAACCATGCAATTAAACACTTTATTCATGCAACAAAACTGTTACATAAACCATGCAATTAAACACTTTATTCATGCAACAAAACTGTTACATAAACCATGCAATTAAACACTTTATTCATGCAACAAAACTGTTACATAAACCATGAAATTAAACAACTCAACTTTTTTTTTGGGTCATAATAAAACTGTTAAATAAACCATGAAATTAAACAGCTAAAACTGTTTAGCCAAACTGGTAATACTTTTTCAGTCCAGCTGCCTAAACCCTTTCTTGTGAAACTATCAAAACTATTTAGTTTTTATGAAGGTTAAACATTTTACAAATCTCCCTTTCTGACTGCTGTCAGTCAATACAGTTTTCCAAATTGGAAACAATTAATCCTCAAATAGCCTAGAAAATCAGTGAAAATAAAAAAAATAAAAAAAGCATTAAACAACGCTGGTTGATGATTTGAGTTAATCTCATTAAATTTATTTAAGATAATATATGACAGGAAAACCTTGATAACATGAATTTCAAGGGGCAGAAAAGTCCAGAATTTGTGTTCTCTTACAAAACGCTATCGTTTCAGTGGATAATTTGCCTTACCTCTTGATCATTTCTGTTTCAAAAGGCTATCGGTTCAGTGGATACTTACCATAAACTGATCCTCAGAAAATCCTAGACCAAAGTATTGATTACTGTCAAGCTGCACTGCCACAGAAAAGTGAACTTTATCCATGGATGGGTCATAGATCCAGGAGACGTTATACAGACAGTTAGATGGCATGGTACAGGATCCATCGCAGGAATTAGCTGTGGGTTCAGATCCTCTGCTGGCGTTCCTGTCTCCTTCAGGGACATGGTTTGTTGTGTTAAGGGTACTGTCTCTTGTACTAGGAACACCATTTGTTGTACTAGGAACACCATTTGTTGTACTAGAGACACCGTCTTTTGTACTAGAGACACTGTCTGTTGTTCTAGAGATACCATCTGTAGTACTAGAGACACTGTCTGTTGTACTAGAGACCCCATTTGTTGTACTAAGAACACCATTTGTTGTACTAGAGACACCATCTGTTGTACTAGAGACACTGTCTGTTGTACTAGAGGCACTGTTTGTTGTACCAGGTGAGCTGGTTATTGAAGAATTGTCTGTCTTGTTTGGTTCAGCAATGGGGGGTTCAGACGCCAGATTGTCATGACATTTGTCGAAGCAGAACTTCTCTGAAGATAGTTTTCTCTCAGAGTGATAGACAAATGAGTCACCACTGGCCGTCTTTCCCCTGGCCGTCAATAAGTAGATGCAGTCGGAAATATCCAGTCTCTGGTCTTCCGAATCCTGAGTGTCCACTGCTCGTGAGAATGTTACGACTGTCATTTCATCTACTACCTGGTCGGAGATCAATGTAAGATCATTGTGGGTGTCTTCCTTTGGGAGCGTTCTGCTTGAGGCCCACCTAGCCAAGGATACAAATTTAATACAAGTTATTATGACCAACCTAAAAATTGATGCACTGAGAGTATGGTTAGAACTAGAATAGACACACTACCTTCCCAACAAGCATGTTGTAGGAGTCAACTAACTGGGGGCTTCCTTTGAAATCAGACTGCATCTGCCTAGGCAAAAAGGAACACCCAATTCCACATAAATGAGCCAGTAAAACGGATGTGCGCACAAAACTCATGCCCCGGCAAAAAGCCAAAATCCAAACTGATGAACAGCCAGGACTTTCCACCGTAACATTCAGCCAGTGAACAAAGAAAATCAGGGCTCTGGTCATCAATACAGCCGGTGAACAAAGAAGATCAGGGACTCTGGTCATCAATACAGCCAGTGAACAAAGAAGATCAGGGCTCTGGTCATCAATACAGCCGGTGGACAAAGAAGATCAGGACTCTGGTCATCAATACAGCCGAGAAATCAGTGCATTTATCTCTTTGCCTATCCTTTGCTTTTTTCTCATCAAGCTAGCCAGTCATGATAAAGGTCTCGAGTCCATCCCTTGTGATAACATCTTTAAAATACAACAAGACTGTCTAGATCTAGTTACCCTAATTAGTTTCTGGTTTCCATCAATAAAAGCTACTAATAGTAAAAATGTAAAAGATACTAATAGCCGACGTATAGAATATACTAGTAGTCAACATGTATAATCAACGTGTACAAGACACCAATAGTCAACATGTATAATCAACGTGTACAAGACACCAATAGTCAACATGTATAATCAACGTGTACAAGACACCAATAGTCAACATGTATAATCAACGTGTACAAGACACCAATAGTCAACATGTATAATCAACGTGTACAAGACACCAATAGTCAACATGTATAATCAACGTGTACAAGACACCAATAGTCAACATGTATAATCAACGTGTACAAGACACCAATAGTCAACATGTATAATCAACGTGTACAAGACACCAATAGTCAACATGTATAATCAACGTGTACAAGACACCAATAGTCAACATGTATAATCAACGTGTAAAAGATACCAATAGTCAACCTGTAAAAGATACCAATAGTCAATGTGTAAAAGATACCAATAGTCAATGTGTAAAAGATACAAATGGTCAACGTTCAGAAGATACTGATAGTCAATTTGTTTAAAAAAATGCTAACAGTCAACATGTAAATTATACTAATAGTCAACATGTAAAAAGATACTAATAGTCAACATGTAAAAAGATACTAATAGTCAACATGTACAAGATATTAAATCTTAAATAAGTAAAATATACTAATAGTCAACATGTACGAGATACTAAGTCAACGTGTACAAGATACTAATCGCCAACGTGTACAAGATACTTATAATCAAATGTATAGTCAATGTGTATAGGAAAGTATTCTAGCAAGTTTATCAAGATCTTGAGCAATGACTGCAATGAGCTTCATGGTAACGGGTGAGTAGAAGGGAACAAAACAAAGGGACAGGACAGACTGACTAACATAGAAGACATAGAAGAAGACACACAAACTAAACAAGGAACGAAATAACAGTGGATAAACAGAAATAAACAGAAGGAAAAAAATAGAAAAAAAGGGAAAAGAGCAGGGAAAAGAAATAATGTAAAAACAAATCTCTGAAAGATAAACATAAATAGTATGTGTCACAGAAAGAAAGAAAGAAAGAAAGAAAGAAAGAAAGAAAGAAAGAAAGAAAGAAAGAAAGAAAGAAAGAAAGAAAGAAAGAAAGAAAGAAAGAAAGAAAGAAAAGAAAGAAAGAAAGAAAGAAAGAAAAAAGAAAGAAAGAAAGAAAGAAAGAAAGAAAGAAAGAAAGAAAGAAAGAAAGAAAGAAAGAAAGAAAGAAAGAAAGAAAGAAAGAAAGAAAGAAAGAAAAAGAAAAAGAAAGAAAGAAAGAAAGAAAGAAAGAAAGAAAGAAAGAAAGAAAGAAAGAAAGAAAGAAAGAAAGAAAGAAAGAAAGAAAGAAAGAAAGAAAGAAAGAAAGAAAGAAAGAAAGAAAGAAAGAAAGAAAGAAAGACAGAAAGAAAGAAAGACAGAAAGACAGAAGACAGAAAGACAGAAAGACAGAAAGGAGGAAAGAAAGAAAAAAGTCATGCACACATGCGAGAAATAATGCAAATACTGACCGGTCTGAGAGGGCGATGCTTCCATTGGATCTGACCCAACCCACCACGATGTCACTGTCCGGCTGGAAGGTAAAGGATAATAATAAATAATGGAGGTTCCGTCATCAGATATTCACGTATTGCTGTGGTTGACCTGACATTTGTCCCCCCCCCCCCCCCCCCCCCCCCCCCCAAACAGATGGATTTGCATAACAACCAAAGTTTACGTTTCGTTAATATGTGGATAAAATCTGAATATTTTTCCTTTAATACTTTGAAATTCTAATTCACCTTTATCATGCAAAAAAAGAAATTTCAATAATTTCTTAAAAGAGAAGCCTCTAAGATTTGTTAAAAAGTGTCTAATGTATGCACTGTGGTGGCCATATTGGACAGCTAATTAGCATGTTCAGTGAGTTTAATAGGTTAAAAACAAATGTAAGTCCATACGTACACTATACACATGACTGTTGAATTCTGTGTTGACATTTAGAGTTTCTGATCCTTCTATGAACACTATCACCTTCAGTTCATGAAAACATGACCTGGCTTACTTGGTGTGTCAATACAACAGTTATAATGGGAATTAACACTAAGTTTCCTTTTGCTTTTTCTTCTTCTTTATCTTCTTCTTTATCTTCTTTGTTATCTTTATCTTCTTCTTCTTCTTCTTCTTCTTCTTCTTCTTCTTCTTCTTCTTCTTCTTCTTCTTCTTCTTCTTCTTCTTCTTCTTCTTCTTCTTCTTCTTCTTCTTCTTCTTCTTCTTCTTCTTCTTCTTCTGCTCCTTCTTTTTATTTTTCTTCTTTCTTCTTGTTCTTCTTTTTCTTCTTCTTCTTCTTTTTTTTTTTTCTTTTTCTTTTTCTTCTGCCTAATTGCTCACATGTTCTTCTTAATACCATCCTTCCTTTTTTAACTTGTTCTTTCTTTTGTTAACTTAACAATATATTTCTTCAGTATGCCTTTTTGTGGAAGCAGGGACTACACAGTAATCTGACATACAGATGACAAAAGTAGATTTAGGATAATTTATACATGTGGCATAGATTTATTACAGTAAATGCAGATGATATATAGATGATAGTAAATGCATGATAGCTTATACAGGTAGCAAAGATACATTTATTATAGCATTTACAGTTGACAAAGATAGTTTTAAAATAGTTTATACAGATGAAACAAATAATAGAGAAATTAACGGCAGCTTACACAGTTGACAAAGATAGTTTTAAAATAGTTTATACAGATGATACAAATAATAGAGAAATTAACGGCAGCTTATACAGGTGACGAAGATAGTTTTAAAATAGTTTATACAGATGATACGATTAATAGAGAAATTAACGGCAGCTTATACAGGTGACGAAGATAGTTTTAAAATAGTTTATACAGATGATACGATTAATAGAGAAATTAACGGCAGCTTACACAGTTGACAAAGATAGTTTTAAAATAGTTTATACAGATGATACGATTAATAGAGAAATTAACGGCAGCTTACACAGATGACAAAGATAGTTTTAAAATAGTTTATACAGATGATACGATTAATAGAGAAATTAACGGCAGCTTACACAGATGACAAAGATAGTTTTAAAATAGTTTATACAGATGATACGATTAATAGAGAAATTAACGGCAGCTTACACGTTGACAAAGATAAATTTATCATAACTTCAGCAGGAGAGGCAGATTTATTCCCTTATTTCACAGAGGTTATATTGTTTTAAAAAATTTTATTAAAAAAATTATAAATGTCTTCCATACCATTGCATTGTCTCTGGAAAATGCCAAACCAAAATATTGGTCACTGAGAAGTCCAACTGAGATTGTAAATGTGACAGTTCTGGAAGTAGGTTCTTGTGTCCAGGTAACATTGTACAGACAGCCGGAATTGACACTGCAAGAACCACCACACTGATTTGATCTAGATCCCTCAATTACCAGGGTACTTCCGTGAGGTATCCCAGGTCCCTCAGTCACCAGGGTACTTCCGTGAGTTATCCCAGGTTCTTCAGTCACCAGGGTACTTCCGTGAGTTATCCCAGGTCCCTCAGTCACCAGGGTACTTCCGTGAGTTATCCCAGGTCCCTCAGTCACCAGGGTACTTCCGTGAGTTATCCCAGGTCCCTCAGTCACCAGGGTACTTCCGTGAGTTGTCCCAGGTCCCTCAGTCACTAGGGTACTTCCGTGAGTTGTCCCAGGTCCCTCAGTTGCCAGGGTACTTCCGTGAGTTGTCCCAGGTCCCTCAGTCACCAGGGTACTTCCGTGAGTTATCCCAGGTCCCTCTGTCGCCAGGGTACTTTCTGGAGTTGTCTTAGGTCCCTCAGTTGCCAGGGTATTTCCAGTTGTTGATACAGCCATGGAAACAGTTCCATTTCCAAAATTAAGAACTGGAAATTCCAGACATGTTTTGTTTGCATCTGAAACAACAAATAATGAAAACCTCAGAATGTAGCCTAGCAATATGTGGAATGAAGTGAAAAAAATGAACAGGTATTGCATGGTGCTCAGAGATGAAAAACAGGAATTGTAGGTATTATAAGATTCATTCTTCTTCTAAATAATTCATGCCATGTCGCATTGGTAGTCGTATCATTTATGAAAACTTTTATCTTGTGGATTTCCAATAAATTATGACACAGATTATCCTCCATCCCATAATGTCAAACTGCCCAGCATCTGTTTTCTTGATCTCTGTTTGCATCTTTTCCCATCCAACTCCCCCACCAACACAATGTATTCCAGTTTTGCTCATCTTATTAGATGTTCAAAAAAGATGTAGATTGTCTTTTTCTGATGTGAGCTTTCAGTTCTCTTTGTGAATCAGTTTCTTTCATAATATCTTTATTACCTTTCTGTGTGTCTAGTGTGTCCTTGTCATTTGTCTAGAAAACCACATCTCTGTCACTTCCACCTAATGTTTTTACTAATTTTCCTTCTGGACATGATTCACTTCCATAGATTAGAATATGATTTATATAGCTCTGGAGAATTATGTTTTTCACCTCAGTTGAACGAAAATTGCATAAAGTTTTCTTGATTTTGTAAAATTCTGTGTTTACAAGAGCTATTCTCATCATCATCATCATCATGTAGCAGGTCCTTTGCAGAACATCGCTCTCGTCACAGTCTGCCTGAAAGAAACTCCGTCTCTCGCCAGTTCTCCCGCCTCATGCACTTTCACACTCAAGGAGTCACTTATATCCTGTGCCCATATTCATGTCGGTCAGCCCCTGCCCCTCCTTCCTGGTACCATGCCTCCTGCTATAATTTTTTCCAATCCGTTGTGGCGCTTGAAATGACCAAAATATTTCAGTTTTCGAGCTATTCTACATTTAAAGAAAAAACAAAAAACAAAAACAAGCATTCATGCTAAATTGACTGTACTGGGATTCTCAACAGTTATCTCAAAATGAGGATGCCTCGCTACCCCTCCCCCCCCCCCCCCCCCCCCCCCCCCCCCCCCCCCCCCCCCCCCCCCCCCCCCCGTCCCTGTAGGATTGCAGTCTGTATGTTTAACACTTCAAAGAGGTGAATCAAACACATGAAAATCCTGAAACCTTGTTCAGTCAGAGAAAGCTGAACTGGAGCACAACTGGGTTCTTGGGCTCCGTTCTGGAGAACAAATAATAGATCCACTACCCCAACAATTATGTCGTACAAGGCAACTAATTAGGGGTGTTTCCATCACAGTCAGAGTGCTTCTGTCTGAGAGGCAAGAAACCAACAGTCTGCATACAAATAATTTAGATCTGAAATATTGTAAAACTGAAGTTCTGGATCAAGACCAAAGTCCAAGAGTGGATGAAGAACAAGCAGATTTGACAGCTGGTGGATGCTAAGAAGAAGATGTTGGGCACATTCTACATGGATAAAGTGACCTATGTCTTGTAGGTGATCATTCAGTACACCAAAGAATATCAATTATCTGTTGTTTTGAAGCTTAAATAACATTAACAATGTGAGATATGCAGATGATATAATGGGAGCGGTCATGGTGGAGCAACTAGATGCTGAGATATGCAGATGATATAATGGGAGCGGTCATGGCGGAGCAACTAGATGGTGAGATATGTTGATGATACAATGGGAGCAGTTATGGTGGAGCAACTAGATGGTGAGATATGCGGATGATACAATGGGAGCAGTCATGGCGGAGCAACTAGATGGTGAGATATGTTGATGATACAATGGGAGCAGTCATGGTGGAGCAACTAGATGGTGAGATATGTTGATGATACAATGGGAGCAGTCATGGTGGAGCAACTAGATGGTGAGATATGCAGATGATACAATGGGATCAGTCATGGTGGAACAACTAGATGGTGAGATATGCAGATGATATAATGGGAGCAGTCATGGTGGAGCAACTAGATGGTGAGATATGTTGATGATACAATGGGAGCAGTCATGGCGAAGCAACTAGATGGTGAGATATGTTGATGATACAATGGGAGCAGTCATGGTGGAGCAACTAGATGGTGAGATATGTTGATGATACAATGGGAGCAGTCATGGCGGAGCAACTAGATGGTGAGATATGCAGATGATACAATGGGAGCAGTCATGGTGGAGCAACTAGATGGTGAGATATGTTGATGATACAATGGGAGCAGTCATGGTGGAGCAACTAGATGGTGAGATATGCAGATGATACAATGGGAGCGGTCATGGTGGAGCAACTAGATGCTGAGATATGTTGATGATACAATGGGAGCGGTCATGGTGGAGCAACTAGATGCTGAGATATGCAGATGATACAATGGGAGCGGTCATGGTGGAGCAACTAGATGGTGAGATATGTTGATGATACAATGGGAGCAGTCATGGCGGAGCAACTAGATGGTGAGATATGTTGATGATACAATGGGAGCAGTCATAGTGGAACAACTAGATGGTGAGATATGTTGATGATACAATGGGAGCAGTCATGGTGGAGCAACTAGATGGTGAGATATGCAGATGATACAATGGGAGCAGTCATGGTGGAGCAACTACATGGTGAGATATGTTGATAATACAATGGGAGCGGTCATGGTGGAGCAACTTGATGGTGAGATATGTTGATGATACAACGGGAGCAGTCATGGCGGAGCAACTAGATGCTGAGATATGCAGATGATACAATGGGAGCAGTCATGGTGGAGCAACTTGATGGTGAGATATGTTGATGATACAACGGGAGCGGTCATGGCGGAGCAACTTGATGCTGAGATATGCAGATGATACAACGGGAGCAGTCATGGCGGAGCAACTAGATGCTGAGATATGCAGATGATACAACGGGAGTGGTCATGGTATAGCAACAAGATGGTGAGATATGTTGATGATACAATGGGAGCGGTCATGGTGGAGCAACTAGATGCTCACCTGCTGGCATGGAGGTTGTGGGTTCAAATCTTCATCGAACTGGATTTTTGTTTAAAAAATGACCTTGGATTCCAAATTGAACCAGCCAAAAATGCTATAGTATACATTACAAAAGTCATGTTCTCACACTTCAACAGATACTTCGATCATGCAAGGATCAACAACAAAATTTTCATGTGGCCTTCAATTTTCCATGTTCTTACGATTATAAAATTTACTATTGTACAGGTTTTGCTGTTTTTATCAGGCAGCAAAATTTCTGCAATCTTTGTTTGACTAGTAATTTATTTGCCTGTAAAAAAAAATAGATCATACAGAGTAATGGCACTTGCCTGTAAACAAACATAGATCATACAGAGTAATGGCACTTGCCTGTAAACAAACATAGATCATACAGAGTAATGGCACTTGCCTGTAAACAAACATAGATCATACAGTCATGGCACTTGCCTGTAAACAAACATAGATCATACAGTCATGGCACTTGCCTGTAAACAAACATAGATCATACAGAGTAATGGCACTTGCCTGTAAACAAACATAGATCATACAGAGTAATGGCACTTGCCTGTAAACAAACATAGATCATACAGAGTAATGGCACTTGCCTGTAAACAAACATAGATCATACAGTCATGGCACTTGCCTGTAAACAAACATAGATCATACAGTAATGGCACTTGCCTGTAAACAAACATAGATCATACAGAGTAATGGCACTTGCCTGTAAACAAACATAGATCATACAGAGTAATGGCACTTGCCTGTAAACAAACATAGATCATACAGAGTAATGGCACTTGCCTGTAAACAAACATAGATCATACAGAGTAATGGCACTTGCCTGTAAACAAACATAGATCATACAGAGTAATGGCACTTGCCTGGAGATTGTTTGCAAATAAATTCACATGTGCAGCGATGCATGCTGGTTATTTGTGTAGCATATCCCACATATAATAAATGAATGTGTTTGTCTAACTGACAGGAGGCTAATGCTAGAGCTGACCACCTGAGAGTCATCTAACTGACAGGAGGCGAATGCTAGAGCTGACCACCTGAGAGTCATCTAACTGACAGGAGGCTAATGCTAGAGCTGACCACCTGAGAGTCATCTAACTGACAGGAGGCTAATGCTAGAGCTGACCACCTGAGAGTCATCTAACTGACAGGAGGCTAATGCTAGAGCTGACCACCTGAGAGTCATCTAACTGACAGGAGGCTAATGCTAGAGCTGACCACCTGAGAGTCATCTAACTGACAGGAGGCTAATGCTAGAGCTGACCACCTGAGAGTCATCTAACTGACAGGAGGCTAATGCTAGAGCTGACCACCTGAGAGTCATCTAACTGACAGGAGGCTAATGCTAGAGCTGACCACCTGAGAGTCATCTAACTGACAGGAGGCTAATGCTAGAGCTGACCACCTGAGAGTCATCTAACTGACAGGAGGCGAATGCTAGAGCTGACCACCTGAGAGTCATCTAACTGACAGGAGGCTAATGCTAGAGCTGACCACCTGAGAGTCAAACGCCCATGAAATGTGTACAGTCGGATGTTTTGAAAAGTTATCATTTCTCAGTCAACTATGAGCGTGCTGGCTGTTTGCTTTGAATCAGTGTGTGTTTTCTCGATCACCCACACACAAAAACCACACAAAAAAGCATAATGAAAATTATATGTTTTGTTAAGAAAAAAATTCTAAAAGGATTATTAAACAAAGGGCATATTAAAAATGCCATTTTAATGACACTGTGTTAGTAAGATTATTTAAATATTCATAGTACAATTTATATCATAACTACAACCCAAACAAAGCAATATTTGAAACATTACAAGTGAGACATTCCTCTTCAATACATAATTGTGCTATATACGCCACCAGCAGGGGAGGTTATGCTGACAGTGTTCTGGCATTGTCAAGGAGTGCTTCTAACCAATTTTTAAAGAAGAGGTGACAATGTGACATGTGATTCATACGGTAAAGTTCTCTTAATGCTTTACGATGCAATTCGAAGACAATGTGGTGCTGAAAGAGCAGTACTACTCTATGCCAGACCACATATGGATTGGTTAACTCATAAGAAAATTAACCATCTAGGGTAGGAACTTCTGAAACATTCTCCCTACACCCAGACTTAGCCCCTGGCGACTTAGACCTTTTTGGTCCACTGAAAACCCAACTTGGCGGGAGAGATTTCGCGACTGACGCAGAAATTGAATGTGAAGTGAAAATGTGGTTTTTAAAAACAGAGCACACAGTTCTATGCAGCAGGTTTGAGAGGACTGATAAAACTATGGGACAAGTGCATCAATGTTGGTGGAAATTAAGTTGAAAAAGAAAAGTGACAGTGTATGTGTAAAAATAAACAGTTTTCAAGTTGTTATCATCTTTAGTTTTTTTTTTTTAAAGAACCAATTGTGACTCACTTATTGACTCTGCCCATCCCGCCCTCTCACAAACACACACACATGCACGAATGCACGCACCTACTCACACATGCACGCACACACACACACACTGAGAACTCAATGGAGACTATTTATCCAAAAATTATAATCCAGTGGTTTGAATAGGATATTATTGAAAAACTACTTCATCATCATTAGCAGGTTGCATGCCAATGTGAAACGACTTACACCCAAAGATTACGGTTTTACAGCTTTTTACAGTTGGATAGGACTTCTGAATTTCACGATACCAGGAAAAGTCCTGTTACACATAGTTTATTGTGTTAATTTGTTACATATCGTTTATTGTGTTAAATTGTTACATTTAGTTTATTGTGTTAAATTGTTACACATAGTTTATTGTGTTAACATTTTACACATAATTTATTGTGTTAAATTGTTACATATAGTTTTTTGTGTTAAATTGTGTACATATAATTTATTGTATTTAAATTGTTATATAGTTTATTGTGTTAAATTGTTATATATAATTTATTGTGTTAATTGTTATATAGTTTATTGTGTTAAAATGTTAAACATAGTTTATTTTGCTAAATTGTTACATATAGTTTATTTTGTTAAATTGTTACATATAGTTTATTGTGTTAAATTGTTACATATAGTTTATTTTTTAAAATTTTTACACATAGTTTTTTTTGTTAAATTGTTACAGATAGTTTTTTTGTGTTAAATTGTTACATATAGTTTATTGTGTTCAATTGTTACATAGAGTTTATTGTGTTAAATTGTTACACATAGTTTATTGTGTTAAACTGCTATATAGTTTATTGCGTTAAATTGGTACATATAGTTTATTTTGTTAAATTGTTACATATAGTTTATTGTGTAAAATTGTTACGCATAGTTTATTGTATTAAACTGCTATATAGTTTTTGGTGTTAAAATGTTACACATAGTTTATTTTGTTAATTTTGTTACACATAGTTTATTATGTAGAAATGTTACACATAGTTTATTGTGTTAAATTGTTACATATAGTTTATTGTGTTAAAATGTAACACATAGTTTATTTTGCTAAATTGTTACATATAGTTTATTTTGTTAAATTGTTACATATAGTTTATTGTGTTAAATTGTTACATATAGTTTATTTTGTTAAATTTTTACATATAGTTTTTTTTGTTAAATTGTTACAGATAGTTTTTTGTGTTAAATTGTTACATATAGTTTATTGTGTTCAATTGTTACATATAGTTTATTGTGATATATTGTTACACATAGTTTATTGTGTTAAACTGCTATATAGTTTATTGTGTTAAAATGTTACACATAGTTTATTTTGTTAAATTGTTACACATAGTTTATTTTGTAGAAATGTTACACATAGTTTATTGTATTAAATTGTTACATATAGTTTATTGTGTTAAATTGTTACACATAGTCTACTGTGTTAAAATGTTACACATAGTTTATTGTGTTAAATTGTTACATATAGTTTACTGTGTTAGGATTAGAGTTAGAAATGTGCTCTGGTTGTCAGTTTAAAATTGTGACTGTAGAGAACTGCAGACTGACCTTTTGGCCTCCAGCCTACAGCTATCCAAGTAACTGACTTTGCTACCAGCACCACTTCCAGCTCTTGACTGTCCTGCAAGTCAGAATTTGTTACAACGATACATACAATGAAGCAATTATATATCTAGCTTCAAATGTGACAATAATTCAGTTCCATCGGGTGCAGTCTCCACAGTGACAGTCTCCACAGTGACAGTCTCCTCCACAGTGACAATCTCCTCCACAGTGACAGTCTCCACAGTGACAGTCTCCTTCACAGTGACAGTCTCCTCCACAGTGACAGTCTCCTCCACAGTGACAGTCTCCTCCACAGTGACAGTCTCCTCCACAGTGACAGTCTCCACAGTGACAGTCTCCACAGTGACAGTCTCCACAGTGACAGTCTCCTCAGTGACAGCCTCCACAGTGACAGTCTCCACAGTGACAGTCTCCACAGTGACAGTCTCCTCCACAGTGACAGTCTCCTCCACAGTGACAGTCTCCACAGTGACAGTCTCCACAGTGACAGTCTCCTCCACAGTGACAGTCTCCTCCCCAGTGACAGTCTCCTCCACAGTGACAGTCTCCTCCACAGTGACAGTCTCCACAGTGACAGTCTCCACAGTGACAGTCTCCTCCACAGTGACAGTCTCCACAGTGACAGTCTCCACAGTGACAGTCTCCACAGTGACAGTCTCCTCCACAGTGACAGTCTCCTCCCCAGTGACAGTCTCCTCCCCAGTGACAGTCTCCTCCACAGTGACAGTCTCCTCCACAGTGACAGTCTCCACAGTGACAGTCTCCTCCCCAGTGACAGTCTCCACAGTGACAGTCTCCTCCCCAGTGACAGTCTCCACAGTGACAGTCTCCACAGTGACAGTCTCCACAGTGACAGTCTCCACAGTGACAGTCTCCTCCCCAGTGACAGTCTCCTCCACAGTGACAGTCTCCACAGTGACAGTCTCCACAGTGACAGTCTCCTCCACAGTGACAGTCTCCACAGTGACAGTCTCCACAGTGACAGTCTCCTCCACAGTGACAGTCTCCACAGTGACAGTCTCCTCCACAGTGACAGTCTCCACAGTGACAGTCTCCTCCACAGTGACAGTCTCCTCCACAGTGACAGTCTCCTCCACAGTGACAGTCTCCACAGTGACAGTCTCCACAGTGACAGTCTCCACAGTGACAGTCTCCACAGTGACAGTCTCCACAGTGACAGTCTCCACAGTGACAGTCTCCTCCACAGTGACAGTCTCCACAGTGACAGTCTCCTCCACAGTGACAGTCTCCAGAGTGACAGTTTCCACAGTGACAGTCTCCTCCCCAGTGACAGTCTCCACAGTGACAGTCTCCACAGTGACAGTCTCCTCCACAGTGACAGTCTCCTCCACAGTGACAGTCTCCACAGTGACAGTCTCCTCCACAGTGACAGTCTCCTCCACAGTGACAGTCTCCTCCACAGTGACAGTCTCCTCCACAGTGACAGTCTCCAGAGTGACAGTCTCCAGAGTGACAGTCTCCACAGTGACAGTCTCCACAGTGACAGTCTCCACAGTGACAGTCTCCACAGTGACAGTCTCCTCCACAGTGACAGTCTCCTCCACAGTGACAGTCTCCACAGTGACAGTCTCCTCCACAGTGACAGTCTCCTCCACAGTGACAGTCTCCTCCACAGTGACAGTCTCCTCCACAGTGACAGTCTCCTCCACAGTGACAGTCTCCACAGTGACAGTCTCCACAGTGACAGTCTCCACAGTGACAGTCTCCTCCACAGTGACAGTCTCCTCCACAGTGACAGTCTCCTCCACAGTGACAGTCTCCACAGTGACAGTCTCCACAGTGACAGTCTCCACAGTGACAGTCTCCTCCACAGTGACAGTCTCCTCCACAGTGACAGTCTCCTCCACAGTGACAGTCTCCTCCACAGTGACAGTCTCCTCCACAGTGACAGTCTCCTCCACAGTGACAGTCTCCTCCACAGTGACAGTCTCCTCCACAGTGACAGTCTCCTCCACAGTGACAGTCTCCTCCATAGTGACAGTCTCCTCCACAGTGACAGTCTCCTCCACAGTGACAGTCTCCTCCACAGTGACAGTCTCCACAGTGACAGTCTCCTCCACAGTGACAGTCTCCTCCACAGTGACAGTCTCCTCCACAGTGACAGTCTCCTCCACAGTGACAGTCTCCACAGTGACAGTCTCCACAGTGACAGTCTCCACAGTGACAGTCTCCTCCACAGTGACAGTCTCCACAGTAACAGTCTCCACAGTGACAGTCTCCTCCACAGTGACAGTCTCTACAGTGACAGTCTCCACAGTGACAGTCTCCACAGTGACAGTCTCCACAGTGACAATCTCCACAGTGAAAGTCTCCACAGTGACAGTCTCCTCCACAGTGACAGTCTCCACAGTAACAGTCTCCACAGTGACAGTCTCCTCCACAGTGACAGTCTCCTCCACAGTGACAGTCTCCTCCACAGTGACAGTCTCCTCCACAGTGACAGTCTTCACAGTGACAGTCTCCACAGTGACAGTCTCCTCCACAGTGACAGTCTCCTCCACAGTGACAGTCTCTTCCACAGTGACAGTCTCCTCCACAGTGACAGTCTCCTCCACAGTGACAGTCTCCTCCACAGTGACAGTCTCCTCCACAGTGACAGTCTCCACAGTGACAGTCTCCACAGTGACAGTCTCCACAGTGACAGTCTCCACAGTGACAGTCTCCACAGTGACAGTCTCCACAGTGACAGTCTCCTCCACAGTGACAGTCTCCACAGTGACAATCTCCACAGTGACAGTCTCCACAGTGACAGTCTTCACAGTGACAGTCTCCACAGTGACAGGCTCCTCCACAGTGACAGTCTCCACAGTGACAGTCTCCTCAGTGACAGTCTCCTCCCCAGTGACAGTCTCCTCCCCAGTGACAGTCTCCTCCACAGTGACAGTCTCCTCCACAGTGACAGTCTCCTCCACAGTGACAGTCTCCTCCACAGTGACAGTCTCCTCCACAGTGACAGTCTCCTCCACAGTGACAGTCTCCTCCACAGTGACAGTCTCCTCCACAGTGACAGTCTCCACAGTGACAGTCTCCACAGTGACAGTCTCCACAGTGACAGTCTCCACAGTGACAGTCTCCTCCACAGTGACAGTCTCCTCCACAGTGACAGTCTCCTCCACAGTGACAGTCTCCTCCACAGTGACAGTCTCCTCCACAGTGACAGTCTCCTTCACAGTGACAGTCTCCTCCACAGTGACAGTCTCCTCCACAGTGACAGTCTCCTCCACAGTGACAGTCTCCACAGTGACAGTCTCCACAGTGACAGTCTCCACAGTGACAGTCTCCACAGTGACAGTCTCCTCCACAGTGACAGTCTCCTCCACAGTGACAGTCTCCACAGTGACAGTCTCCACAGTGACAGTCTCCACAGTGACAGTCTCCACAGTGACAGTCTCCACAGTGACAGTCTCCACAGTGACAGTCTCCTCCACAGTGACAGTCTCCACAGTGACAGTCTCCACAGTGACAGTCTCCACAGTGATAGTCTCCACAGTGATAGTCTCCACAGTGATAGTCTCCTCCACAGTGACAGTCTCCTCCACAGTGACAGTCTCCACAGTGACAGTCTCCACAGTGATAGTCTCCTCCACAGTGACAGTCTCCACAGTGACAGTCTCCACAGTGATAGTCTCCTCCACAGTGACAGTCTCCACAGTGACAGTCTCCACAGTGATAGTCTCCACAGTGACAGTCTCCTCAGAGACAGTCTCCACTGTGACAGTCTCCACAGTGACAGTCTCCACAGTGACAGTCTCCTCCACAGTGACAGTCTCCACAGTGACAGTCTCCTCCACAGTGACAGTCTCCACAGTGACAGTCTCCACAGTGATAGTCTCCACAGTGATAGTCTCCTCCACAGTGACAGTCTCCTCCACAGTGACAGTCTCCTCCACAGTGACAGTCTCCTCCACAGTGACAGTCTCCACAGTGACAGTCTCCACAGTGACAGTCTCCACAGTGATAGTCTCCTCCACAGTGACAGTCTCCACAGTGACAGTCTCCACAGTGACAGTCTCCACAGTGATAGTCTCCTCCACAGTGACAGTCTCGACAGTGACAGTCTCCACAGTGATAGTCTCCACAGTGACAGTCTCCTCAGTGACAGTCTCCACTGTGACAGTCTCCACAGTGACAGTCTCCTCCACAGTGACAGTCTCCTCCACAGTGACAGTCTCCTCCACAGTGACAGTCTCCTCCACAGTGACAGTCTCCTCCACAGTGACAGTCTCCACAGTGACAGTCTCCTCAGTGACAGTCTCCACAGTGACAGTCTCCACAGTGACAGTCGGCTGCAGTGGATCTCCAAAACTCTCTTGACCTGGTTGTACACTGTCTCAGACTGCTTGATGTTGTCCTCCCACTTGTATTGTTGCCTACCTCTTGCTCTCTTGCCTTTGACCTTTCCCTCCAGTATGGTTTTTTAAAAAGCATGTTATGTCTTTTAATGTGGCCAAAGTATTTCAGTTATCTCTTTTTTTCAAATATTTTGGTAATTCTCTTTTTATTTGTAACCTTCCCAGAACCTCTGTTTTGAACAGTTTTTGTTTCCATGAAAAACAATCTATTTTTCTGTATACCCACATCTCCAGAGACTCAATTTGATTTTCTAGCTGCTTGTTCATTGTCCACGTTTCTGCAACACATAGCAGGACTGAGTATGTATAACGTTTGACAATTCATTCCTATTTTTCTTTTTTCATCTGTTTACTACATGTCCTAGATAGGAAAAACATGTTCCTTGTTCTACTAGCTCTCCGTTAACTGTGATGTTCACTGTTGGCCGCTCTTTTCCTTTTGTTAATTATCAAATTTGTTTTTCTTTCTGAATGTTAATGTCTAAACCAAACTCTGCACTCCAGCTGCTGATTTGATCAATAATTATATCTCTGAAAACAATTTTAACAACGCTTATATAAAAATATACACACAAAGAAAGTCATTAGACACATTTATATAAATACTTATATACCTCCATTCTAATGTAACAATATTTATACATCTACATACAAATGTAACAATATTTATACATCTACATACAAATGTAACAATAATTATACATCTACATACAAATGTAACAATAATTATACATCTACATACAAATGTAACAATAATTATACATCTACATACAAATGTAACAATATTTATACATCTACATACAAATGTAACAATATTTATACATCTACATACAAATGTAACAATAATTATACATCTACAAACAAATATAACAATACTATGTATATAAATACAAAGATAGTAATTGGATACATATATATACAAATGTAACAATATTTATACATTTACAAACAAGAATAACGATACTTATGCATACACATACAAAGATAATAATTGGATACATAAATACAAATGGAAAAGTATTTGTATATCTACATATAAATGTAACAATAATTATATATCTACACACAAATGTAACAATAATTTTGTACCTACATACAAATGTAACAATACTTATATTTCCATAGACATGTACAATAATGTTATATGTACATACAAACGTAACAATAATTATGTATCTACATACAAATGTAACAATACTTATATTTAAAAAGAAATATAACAATAATGTTATATCTACATAAAAACGTTACAATAATTATATATCAACATAAAAACGTAACAATAATTATGTATCTACATACAAATGTAGCAACACTTATATTTTTTAAAAGAAATGTAACAATAATGTTATATCTACATACAAACATTACAATTATATATCTACATATATAATATCTCTCCCAGCCGCCGCTCTAGGCCCCTGGTGCTCGATTCAACTAAATTGGGTATCCTTTACAGGACGTTGCAGAACCAACCCCAACAGCCCCCCCCCCCAGCCGTTGTGTGGTTTCTCAAGGCAAATTTACGTCCAGTAGTTTGCCATTGCTTTCTGGACAGTCGGCTTTCTTGATACCACTGTCGAAACCAACGCAAGGCGCATATGGCTCGCAGCTGGGATGGAACCCGGCACCCCGGCATTACGAAGCGTTCGCATCGACTTAGCCACTGAGCTTCAAATAAATACAAGTTGATAAATACTATACCGCCAGAATCCTGTGATAAAGTGTGTAGTTGTTAGTCAGCTTGTGTTGTGTGTAATCCAGGAGATTGACCTCTGACCTGCTTCTGACTGGCGACTCTGTCAACAAGCATATACAAGTAACAGTAAGGGACCCTTTTCCACACCTTAAGGCATATTGGGCATATAGGGCTAGACCTATAATTTATAGACATGGCACAAGATGGGTGATGTGGTCAGCATCACGCCGGCCTCCTTTACTTTCCAGGACTACACCTGGTACCCACTTAAGGCTGGGTCGCCCTGAGGTGTCAAGGTCATATTTGAAAAAAAGTCTGGCTCGCCAGGGAGCGAACCCACGACCTTCTGATCTGCAGGTGAGCGTCTAGCGGCTACTCCACGGCGACTCTCATTGGGCATATAGGGCTAGACCTAATTTTATAGACAAAATGGCACTAGTTGGGTGATGTCAACAAGCTTATGCTGAGAGATTACATGACAATTCATAATCAAAGGCACTCTGCGCTGGCTGCTGAAGATTAGGATGGAGCATGCATGGGAATGCATATCAAATGCATAAACTCTGTGTTATAGATAGTACTTCGTGAGCAAAGTATTACATTCTATGCTATTGTTAACACTTCATTCAATGCTACAGATAACAAACAACATGGGGGAAATATTGCATTCTATGCTTTATATAACAGTTAATGAGTAAATTATTGCATTCTATGCTTTATATAACAGTTAATGAGCAAATTATTGCATTCTATGCTTTATGTAATAGTTAATGAGCAAATTATTGCATTCTATGCTTTATGTAACAGTTAATGAGCAATTTATTGCATTCTATGCTTTATGTAACAGTTAATGAGCAAATTATTACATTCTATGCTTTATATAACAGTTAATGAGTAAATTATTGCATTCTATGCTTTATATAACAGTTAATGAGCAAATTATTGCATTCTATGCTTTATGTAACAGTCAATGAGCAAATTATTGCATTCTATGCTTTATGTAACAGTTAATGAGCAAATTATTGCATTCTATGCTTTATGTAACAGTTAATGAGCAAATTATTGCATTCTATGCTTTATGTAACAGTTAATGAGCAAAGTATTGCATTCTAACATATAATAACAGTTCGTGAGCAAAAAATTACATTCTATGCTTTATACAACAGTTGAGTAGAAGAGTATTACATTCGTTGCTTTATATAACAGTTAAGTAGAAAAGTATTACCTATGTTACAGATAATACAGTGTTATCTATATGATTGTTATGTCCAAGCAAACACTTTCACACAAATGAACATTGAACAGTTTCATAGCAATCTTCGCACTCTGCACTTTCTATAAGTCCAAAGTTTTACAAGTGAATGATATCTAGAAATCAATAGCAAATCCTTACCACTTGGCTGACAATCTCGTGCATTCACTACCTCAGTCACGTTATTACATTTCTGTGACATTTACAAAGACATACATACACTCACAAACACTCACACATGCACGCACACACTCAGGCGCATGCACACACATGCACACACACATGCACGCACACACACACATATACACACAGAGACACGCCACACATGCGCAGCCGCATATGCACGCTTATATACAAACACCATCCCCCTACAAGCACACACATGTACACACACACTCACACATGTATGCACACACAGGTTCTAACCTCGCTCACAGAATCGACCGAACCAGCCTGCCGAACAAAAACACATCTGTCTCGGATACTTGATTGACTCCGTGTCCACACACTGGCCATGGTTGTTGCAGTCAGACCCGTCCACACAGTCATCTGGAAAACACAAGTGTCAGCAGGCAGGTCATTGAACAGTGGCCAAGATAGTTTGCCTACATTTTTCCAAAAGGAGGTGGTGAAACATTAACGTCAGTGGGAACCCCCCCCCCCCCCCCCCCCCCCCTCCCAAGAGTCAGTATTGCATTGGATATATGATGCTACACTCGAATATGTATAGACCAGTCGGTACTCGATCGCTCAACATGACGCAGACCGCCTTTATTTTGAGGACATTTCCTGGTACCCATTTGTGCTGAATCGACCTGGAAATCAAAGTCATTTTTATTTTAAAAAGGGGACTCAGTGAGGATCTGAACCTTAGATGTCTAGGCAGGCAATGGGAGGTTGAGTTTACAATGGGAGGTTGAGTTTACAATGGGAGGTTGAGTTTACAATGTGAGGTTGAGTTTACAATGTGAGGCTGAGTTTACAATAGGAGACTGAGTTTACAGTGTTAGGCTGAGTTTACAATGTGAGGTTGAGTTTACAATGTGAGGTTGAGTTTACAATAGGAGACTGAGTTTACAGTGTTAGGCTGAGTTTACAATGTGAGGTTGAATTTACAATGTGAGGCTGAGTTTACAATGTGAGGTTAAGTTTACAATAGGAGGAGGTTGAGTTTACAATGTGAGGCTAAGTTTACAATGTGAGGTTGAGTTCACATTGGAAGACTGAGTGTACAATCCAAAGTTGACTTTATAGTATGAGGCTGAGTTTACAATGGAAGGGGTAGATTACAATGTGAGGTTTTACAATGTGAGGTTGAGTTTACATTGGAAGACAGAGTTTACACTTTAAAGTTGTCTTTTTAGTATGAGGCTGAGTTTACAATGGGAGGGGTAGTTTTCAATGTTAGGCTGAGTTTATAATGTGAGACTGAGTTTACATTGTGAGGCTGAGGTTACAATGGAGGGTCGAGTTTACAAATGGTAGATTGAGTTTACATTGGAAGACTGAGAATACAATGGGAGGCTGAGTTTGCAATTCAACGTTGGCTTTGTAGTATAAGGCTGTGTTTACAATTCAACGTTGACTTTGTAGTATGAGGCTGTGTTTACAATTCAACATTGACTTTGTAGTATGAGGCTGTGTTTACAATTCAACGTTGACTTTGTAGTATGAGGCTGAGTTTACAATTCAACGTTGACTTTGTAGTATGAGGCTGAGTTTACAATTCAACGTTGACTTTGTAGTATGAGGCTGAGTTTACAATTCAACGTTGACTTTGTAGTATGAGGCTGAGTTTACAATTCAACGTTGACTTTGTAGTATGAGGCTGAGTTTACAATCCAACGTTGACTTTGTAGTATGAGGCTGAGTTTACAATTCAACGTTGACTTTGTAGTATGAGGCTGAGTTTACAATTCAACGTTGACTTTGTAGTATGAGGCTGAGTTTACAATCCAACGTTGACTTTGTAGTATGAGGCTGTGTTTACAATTCAATGTTGACTTTGTAGTATGAGGCTGTGTTTACAATTCAATGTTGACTTTGTAGTATGAGGCTGTGTTTACAATTCAATGTTGACTTTGTAGTATGAGGCTGTGTTTACAATTCAACGTTGACTTTGTAGTATGAGGCTGTGTTTACAATTCAACGTTGACTTTGTAGTATGAGGCTGTGTTTACAAAGGGAGACTGAGTTGGGGCTATTGAGCAGTTATCAGTTGAAGAAGCTCTCTATACTCTAGATCAGTGGTTCTCAACTTATAGGTCGCCACCCTTTTGGGCATTGACGTGGGGTCCCCTAAGACCATCGGAAAACACAGATTCATTGAAGTTATAAGATTACAAAATAATTGTAGGAGTCACCACAACATGAAGCACAATATGAAAGGGTCACGGCATTAGGACGGTTGAGAACCACTGCTCTAGCTGATAAAGTTATCTAGTGACAGTTTCTGTTGCTGGTGTGAGAAGTGATGTCCAGTGACAGTTTCTGTTGCTGGCGTGGGAAGTGATGTCCAGTGACAGTTTCTGTGGCTGGCGTGGGAAGTGATGTTCAGTGACAGTTTCTGTAGCTGACGTGGGAAGTGATGTCCAGTGACAGTTTCTGTTGCTGGCGTGGGAAGTGATGTCCAGTGACAGTTTCTGTTGCTAGCGTGGGAAGTGATGTCCAGTGACAGTTTCTCTTGCTGGCCTGGAAAGTGATGTCCAGTGACAGTTTCTCTTGCTGGCCTGGAAAGTGATGTCCAGTGACAGTTTATGTTGCTAGCGTGGGAAGTGATGTCCAGTGACAGTTTCTGTTGCTAGCGTGGGAAGTGATGTCCAGTGACAGTTTCTGTTGCTAGCTTGGGAAGTGATGTCCAGTGACAGTTTCTTTTGCTGGCCTGGGGAGTGATGAACAGTGACAGTTTCTGTTCTGGCCTGGGAAGTGATGTACAGTGACAGTTTCTGTTGCTGGCGTGGGAAGTGATGTTCAGTGACAGTTTCTATTGCTAGCGTGGGAAGTGATGTCCAGTGACAGTTTCTGTTGCTGGCGTGGGAAGTGATGTTCAGTGACAGTTTCTGTTGCTGGTGTGGGAAGTGATGTCCAGTGACAGTTTCTGTTGCTAGCGTGGGAAGTGATGTTCAGTGACAGTTTCTGTTGCTGGCGTGGGAAGTGATGTCCAGTGACAGTTTCTGTTGCTGGCGTGGGAAGTGATGTCCAGTGACAGTTTCTGTTGCTAGCGTGGGAAGTGATGTCCAGTGACAGTTTCTCTTGCTGGCCTGGAAAGTGATGTCCAGTGACAGTTTCTGTTGCTAGCTTGGGAAGTGATGTCCAGTGACAGTTTCTGTTGCTAGCGTGGGAAGTGATGTCCAGTGACAGTTTCTGTTGCTGGCCTGGGGAGTGATGTACAGTGACAGTTTCTGTTCTGGCCTGGGAAGTGATGTACAGTGACAGTTTCTGTTGCTGGCGTGGGAAGTGATGTTCAGTGACAGTTTCTATTGCTAGCGTGGGAAGTGATGTTCAGTGACAGTTTCTGTTGCTGGCGTGGGAAGTGATGTCCAGTGACAGTTTCTGTTGCTGGTGTGGGAAGTGATGTCCAGTGACAGTTTCTGTTGCTAGCGTGGGAAGTGATGTTCAGTGACAGTTTCTGTTGCTGGCGTGGGAAGTGATGTCCAGTGACAGTTTCTGTTGCTGGCGTGGGAATTGATGTACAGTGACAGTTTCTGTTGCTGGCGTGGGAATTGATGTACAGTCACATTTTTTAGACCACAGGATCATGAAGTGGGTGGCTACACGGTTCTTACTGTGTAAATCTGTGTCACCTAAAACGTATATTGGAATTTTGTGTATCACTCAGTACATACTTTGGAATTCAGTGTCACCCAGAACATAATTTGAATTCTATGTGCTACTCAGTATATACTTTGAAATTATGTGTTATCCAATACGTATTTTGGAATTCTGTGTTGCCCAAAACGATCTTTAGAATTCTGTGTGTTTTTCAAAAGGTAATTTAGAATGCCGAGTGTTTTCTAAAACGTACTTTGGAATTATGTGTGTGTGCTTAAACGTACTTTAGAATATTTACCCAATGTGCACTTTGGAATTCTATGTTACCTAAAGTGTACTTTGGAATTACGACTTACATAAAACATACCTTGTAATTACGTGTGTTACCAAATACGTACCTTTATATTCAGTTCACTTCCCATTTCCCACATTTGAGTTCTGCGCATTTCCTATGTGGGATCCGGGCTCCATATTTGAGAGTAAAACAATAGTCCCACTACCTAAGTAACAAGCATGTCGTAAAAGCGTCAAAGGTGACAATGTGTTTACTCTGAAGTCGGAATGCCTTTGCCTGAGAGTCAAGGAATTAAAAGTCTGCATACAAATAAGCCAGTTCTTCAAAACGGATGTGCAGACAAAACTCAAGTTCTGGAACAAGACCACACTTCATGAATGGACGAACAACCAGGACGTTCTGTTGACATTTACAGCCACAGAACGCTAAGAAGAAGAAGAAGACGAAAAAGAAGTACTTACTTTGGAACTGGCAGATGTGGCCGTCATACTTCCGGTCACAGAGGCAGCGGTTGCCGTCATGTTGGCCATGGTTGGAGCACTTCTGTCTGTCGGTCACCGCTGAGGAAGGGGGCAAACAAGAAATCACTCAGGTCAACTAAACCAACTTAACACTCCGAAATTTCAGCTTCACAATGTGCGTCCACGTGGGTCCACTGTGCGTCCACGTAGGTCAACTGTGCGTCCACTGTGCGTCCATGTGGGTCCACTGTGCATCCATGTGGGTCCACTGTGCGTCCATGTGGGTGTTTGTGTATTTATAAATGTATGCAAGTATGCATGTGTGTGTGTGATTTTGTGTGTTTGATTGTGTGTGTGTGTGTGTGTGTGTGTATATGTGGATATATGAAAGTATATTTAGGTTTGTAAGTATGTGTGTGTAATTATGTATGTTTGTTGTAAGTATGTGTAATAGTATATGAGTGTATATAATATATGTATGGGTGATTGTATGTGTGTGTAAGCATGTGTCGTGAGGTGAGCAGCCACCCTACACAATGGACGAGTCGCGACTTTGATTTCCCTCCAGGACAGTCAAATTTCAAACTTGAACCCGTCCGGAAAGGTATATAGTCCCTTATATTGATCTATACCTTTATCTAGTAAAATATTCATTTCTAGACCCTCTAGTTGCTTTGATAAATCTTTATTTTCAAACTTGCAACTGTAGATTGGCTAATTCTGGTATTTTATTTAGAAATTCCTGTAAACATGTTTACTGCTTAGGCAGGAATACAGGGGACTTCTTTACTAGAGACGCTAGTTTGATTTTGAAAAAAACATTCTTTCGCCTGATCCCAAAGTGTCAAGACGTGTATACGGTCTATGTAGAAATTGGTGTATTCAAAGTTCCATTTCTATCTTGGAAGATTTCCTAAGCTTGGGATGATACCTCCTTAGAGATCAGGCAGACGAATCACAGTCCAGCCAACCACCACCAACCCATACCATTATGTGCACCAAGAGTATCCCAAAAGTCCCGTATGTTGGGTCACAACCTAAACATGGCAAGAGCTTGTTTGTGAGTTCCAGGACCAGTGGACAATTGCAGACACCTATGTCATCAATCCAGAGAACCAGTCTTCAAGAGCTTTGTTGGGCTCTTCTGCATTTGTTGTGTCATCACCTGTGAGACCGGCAGTGGGCATCACAGTCTCCAAGAGCTTTGGTGGGCTCCTGTGCAGTTCATGTGTCCTAGCTCGTGACAGTCAGTTGGAACAAGATCTGGCTGCTTCAATAGCTGGGTTGTGTCATTGATTCATGAGCTCCCTTCAATGAACTCTTGGTGATCTATTCACTATTATATGTATATATTGTACCGATTACATGCACACATTTTCATGGCTGACTTGGGTGTCACTATTTCACCATTCTAACTGTCTAGCTTTGATGATTGTGTGAGCAATAAGTGTTATATGTGTTAACATGGTTATGATAGTAGACTATCATAACCTGGGGGCTATCTTTTTATAGTAGTGGGGGTGTCCAGCCAAGTGTGCCTAGGAATATTATATATTTTGTAGTGCCAAAACTTGAGTTGCCCTACTCCTGAAATAAGTTGAGCGTATATTGGCCACGGGGCATCCCTTAGACCAATACGAGCCAACGACTCAACATAATTATTTCAGAGTGCTGTTGGTTCTTAAGGAGAAATCCTTAAATCAGGCACGCGACAGGAGCGATATGTGAATAATCCTCCATCTGTATTCGTGAAGGTGCAGCAGATAAGTAAGGTTGTGACTACATTTTTGCTCAAATTTTGAAGTGGAAAATGTGGTCTAAAAAATATTAACTGTTAGCCTCGTCAAATAAGCACGCATCTTTAAAGGCAATGCGTTCTTTTCTGTTGCCTTTGAGCGTGTGTATCTGTGTGTGTTTGTGAGAGAGAGAGAGAAAGAGAGAGAGAGAGCATGCATTTTTTCGTTCTTTCGGGGTGTCTTTGCCCAGATCAAATTGAAGATATTGCGAACGAGAATATGAAGGTGATTTAAATTACATGGAACGAACGCCTGAACGAACGATGATTTAAATGCGAATTTGGCACATGGATAAAATCAGATAAAAGATGCATTACTAAAATAAAAAACAAAACAGGACGGGCAAAAACTACATTTTATTAAAAAAAAAAAAAAAAAGAACATTTTATGCACTATATCTTTGTCTTGCTTGCTACATACGTCCAGTTTTAACATATGGCTATGAGTCCTGGACAATCGGTAGCCAGGCCAAACAATTTTTTTAGGCCTCGGAGATGTGGTTTTACAAAACTATGCTTAAAATACCTTGGACAGCCTTAAAAAAAAACAACCACTAGGTTTTGAAATAGGCGGGAGCCCGAAGACAACTAATCACAGACATCAGAAGGAGACAGTCCTCATTTTTCAGCTATCTTATAAGAAGAGTTAAAATGGAACATGTGGTGACCACTGGAAAGATTTGTGGAAGGAGAGATAGAAAAGACAACGAGAGAAGATTCTTGACAGTCTTGTTGCATGTCATGGAGGTGTGTCAGCACACGAACTGATACATGCTGCAGGAGATCGCAGATTGTGGCGAGGCAAAATCGCCAACACCAGTCAGCAAGGCACCTGATGATGATACACTATTCGTATTCGTATTTGGCCGAATAGTTGGTCTCACTATTCGTATTGGGCCGAATAGTGAAAATCACTATTCGGTACAGCCCTAGTATATATGCATGTATGCATGTATGTGTGTGTATGTATATATGCATGTATGTGGGTGTATGTATTCATGTGAGTGTAAATGTGTGGTTGTGGGCATATGTTGGTGTCTGCACATGTGATTGTATATGTGTGTATGCATGGATGCATTTATATGTGTGTATGTATGGAATGTGTGTGTGCATTTATATCCATAAATGTGTTTGTGTGTTTTCTGTTTATGACTATGTATGTTTTTGTGTTTTATGTCTGTATATGTATGTAGATGCATGTGTGTATGTATTACGTATATCTGTATATGAGTGTGCAAGTATGAGAACGTAGGAGTATGTATACGTGTGTGTGAGTGTGTACGATTCTGTACACTTGATGTGTGTATGCATTATTCTATAATTTTTATTTCCTTATTATATCCATAACATGCATTATTGATAACAGGCATTGGTACTCTGAAAAATTAGTACTTACAAGTTCGTGATGTCAGGCAGGCCTGCGTGCCCAATTTTTAATCCTTTGAAAAAAAGTTTGTTTTATCTATCTATCTATCTATCTATCTATCTATCTATCTATCTATCTATCTATCTATCTATCTATCTATCTATCTATCTATCTATCTATCTATCTATCTATCTATCTATCTATCTATCTATCTATCTATCTATCTACCTACCTACCTACCTACCTACCTACCTACCTACCTACCTACCTACCTACCTACCTACCTACCTACCTACCTACCTACCTACCTACCTGTCTGTCCGTCCGTCTGTCTGTCTTTACATTTTTAATCAATCTATGCATCTGTTTGCCATGTCATTTTGTGTGTGTGTATGACTATGTGTAAGTTTGTCTGTATATGTGTGCGTCCGCTTTTTTATCTATCAATAAATATTAGTTATCTGTCTGTCCTTCTTGTGTGTTTATTTTTGCATCCGTCTACTGTGACTTCTATCAGTCTGCCTTCTCGTGTTCGTGCTTCTCTAGATCTCTTTATTATGTTTTTCTATATTCTTGTCTGTAAACTCCACTAAAAAGTCTGAAAACTCTATTAGAAAGTAGGTAAACTGCACTAAAAAGTCTGAAAACTCTATTAGAAAGTAGGTAAACTCCACTAAAAAGTCTGAAAACTCTATTAGAAAGTAGGTAAACTCCACTAAAAAGTCTGAAAACTCTATTAGAAAGTAGGTAAACTGCACTAAAAAGTCTGAAAACTCTATTAGAAAGTAGGTAAACTCCACTAAAAAGTCTGAAAACTCTATTAGAAAGTAGGTAAACTCCACTAAAAAGTCTGAAAACTCTATTAGAAAGTAGGTAAACTGCACTAAAAAGTCTGAAAACTCTATTAGAAAGTAGGTAAACTCCACTAAAAAGTCTGAAAACTCTATTAGAAAGTATGTAAACTCCACTAAAAAGTCTGAAAACTCTATTAGAAAGTAGGTAAACTCCACTAAAAAGTCTGAAAACTCCATTAGAAAGTCTGTAAACTCCATTAGAAAGTCTGTAAACTCCTTTAGAAAGTCTGTAAACTCCTTTAGAAAGCTCTGGTCGTTGGTTTAATTCTAGAAATTAGTCCTTTTCCAGAACAAGTTCTCCGGCACATCAGTTTTACAGATCTGGCTTATTTGTATGCAGACTGTTGGTTCTCTGCCACTCGGGCAGTTGCACTCCGACTTCGATTAAAATACACTAAGTAGTCGATTGTTTACAGGCGTATGGAGGAGGAGGAGGGGGTCTATCTCATATCTCCCCCCCCACACACACACACACACACACACACACACACACACACACACACACACATGGTCCCTGAAACGCACACCAGGAATTTATCATCAAAAGGTCACTTACGATTTGTCATCAGGTTGACGTCAGAACAGCTCCAGAATAGCAAGTTGTCTCCCCATTCCGAGCCTCGTGTGACGATTCGTAACGTACAGTTGAGGCAAGTGGCTGCCGGCAGTTGAATTGTATAGTTCTGTTGTCTGTCAAACAAAGACAAACAAATCCATTATTCAATCAGTCAACATTCCAGTCATTTAGTAAATAAAATCAACTGTAGACAATAGTCACCAATACGGGGATCAAGGGGTCCAAAGGAGACACTTTAACTGAAGTACAAGTTAAACTAGATAATACAACAATCGACTCTGGTGTGCCTGACCCGCTCAAGAACAGTCTGTCTCAAACGTGAAGCCGCTTGTAAACTACCTACTCACTTGCTGGACTGACAGGCATCAATAACCATATTGAACTTTCATTGGTCGATGGATGTCTGCAGGTTTCACCTCTTTGGTGCCTGTCAAAAGTGGGGCGGTCCTCTTTAAACTGTCATTATGACGTCACCATGTTCGTCTGCACCGTGATGTCACGTGCTTAACATTGATGGCATCCTTAACCAAAATATTAAAGGTTGCAAGATAATGTCATTATTAATGCCTTCTGCTTCTTCTTTGCGTTCGGTTTCGTATGAACAAGTCAGACCATCAGGCGGGTTGCCTCTGTAAACATTCATGTCAGCAGTAGGTCATTCATGGTTCCACTTAGCTTGCTCTGCATACTTCGCTCTTGCTCTTTTCGAATGTACAGGTAGAGTAGGCAGGTCTGCAGAATGTGATCAGGTGTTTGTGGTCACGTAGTCGGGTGTTTGTGGTCCTATACTCAGGTGTTTGTGGTCCTATACTCAGGTATTTGTGGTCCTGTACTCAGGTATTTGTGGTCCTGTGCTCAGGTGTTTGTGGTCCTGTACTCAGGTATTTGTGGTCCTGTACTCAGGTATTTGTGATCCTATGCTCAGGTGTTTGTGGTCCTGTAGTCAGGTGTTTGTGGTCCTGTAGTCAGGTGTTTGTGGTCCTGTGCTCAGGTATTTGTGGTCCTATAGTCAGGTATTTGTGGTCCTGTAGTCAGGTGTTTGTGGTCCTGTGCTCAGGTGTTTGTGGTCCTGTACTCAGGTATTTGTGGTCTTGTACTCAGGTATTTGTGGTCCTGTAGTCAGGTGTTTGTGGTCCTGTACTCAGGTATTTGTGGTCCTATAGTCAGGTATATGTGGTCCTATAGTCAGGTATATGTGGTCCTGTAGTCAGGTGTTTGTGGTCCTATAGTCAGGTGTTTGTGGTATTGTACTCAGTTGTTTGTATTCCTGTACTCGGGTGTATGTGGTCCTGTAGACAGGTGTTTGTGGTATTGTACTCAGGTGTTTGTATTCCTGTACTCAGGTGTATGTGGTCCTGTACTCGGGTGTTTGTAATCCTGTACTTAGGTGTTTGTGGTCCTGTACTCAGGTGTTTGTATTCCTGTACTCAGGTGTATGTGGTCCTGTAGTCAGGTGTTTGTATTCCTGTACTCAGGTGTATGTGGTCCTGTACTCAGGTGTTTGTATTCCTGTACTCAGGTGTATGTGGTCCTGTAGTCAGGTGTTTGTAATCCTGTACTCAGGTGTTTGTAATCCTGTACTCAGGTGTTTGTAATCCTGTACTCAGGTGTTTGTGGTCCTGTACTCAGGTGTTTGTAATCCTGTACTCAGGTGTTTGTGGTCCTGTACTCAGGTGTTTGTGGTCCTGTACTCAGGTATTTGTGGTCCTGTACTCAGGTATTTGTGGTCCTGTACTCAGGTTTTTGTGGTCCTGTACTCAGGTGTTTGTGGTCCTGTACTCAGGTGTTTGTGGTCCTGTACTCAGGTGTTTGTAGTATTGTACTCAGGTGTTTGTGGTCCTATACTCAGGTGTTTGTAGTATTGTACTCAGGTGTTTGTAATCCTCTACTCAGGTGTTTGTGGTCCTGTACTCAGGTATTTGTGGTCCTGTACTCAGGTATTTGTGGTCCTGTACTCAGGTATTTATGGTACTGTACTCAGGTATTTGTGGTCCCCTACTCAGGTATTTGTGGTCCTGTACTCAGGTATTTGTGGTCCTGTACTCAGGTATTTGTGGTCCTGTACTCAGGTATTTGTGGTCCTGTACTCAGGTATTTGTGGTCCTGTACTCAGGTATTTGTGGTCCTGTACTCAGGTATTTATGGTCCTGTACTCAGGTATTTGTGGTCCTGTACTCAGGTATTTGTGGTCCTGTACTCAGGTATTTGTGGTCCTGTACTCAGGTGTTTGTGGTCCTGTACTCAGGTATTTGTGGTCCTGTACTCAGGTATTTGTGGTCCTGTACTCAGGTGTTTGTGGTCCTGTACTCAGGTGTTTGTGGTCCTGTACTCAGGTTTTTGTGGTCCTGTACTCAGGTATTTGTGGTCCTGTACTCAGGTATTTGTGGTCCTGTACTCAGGTATTTGTGGTCCTGTACTCAGGTATTTGTGGTCCTGTACTCAGGTATTTGTGGTCCTGTACTCAGGCATTTGTGGTCCTGTACTCAGGTGTTTGTGGTATTGTACTCAGGTGTTTGTAATCCTGTACTCAGGTATTTGTGGTCCTGTACTCAGGCGTTTGTGGTCCTGTACTCAGGTGTTTGTGGTCCTGTACTCTGGTGTTTGTGGTGCTGTGCTCAGGTGTTTGACATGCACACTGTGGGGACTGCACAGTCTTTATTTGGCTATCCTCCGACTAACGGTCGGTAAAGATGGTGGCTGCAAAATATCCTTTCGAGCCACAGTCACGTGTCAATTTTCCGGCTACTACCGCCACCGCCACGTGTCAACCATGTCGCTCACACGGCGTGGAATGGGGCTAAACTAGATGGGCAGCAGCCGCGGTGTGCTCGTGACTGCTGGTGTGCAACTGACACGCGACTGTGGCTAAAAGGATATTTGCGGCGCCATCTTTACCGACTATTAATAGCCCTTTATTTTTATGCATCTGTAGCTGAACATGCAGTGTCCTGTTTTTAGGTATGGGGGGGGGGGGGGGGGGGAATGTTGTATGCTGTTTTCTGTTAAGCTTGCTAATGGGGTCTTGTCAATGTTTACTGTTGCTTTGTTCTCTGCACAATTCCTTGTATTCTCCTTTTGTTAAGTGTTGTGATTTCTGGAAGTGACAATGAATCTAGTGAACCGCAGTGAACCGGGATCAATTCGAGAAGATCTGAATGTTTTCTGAGAGGATTTTAACTTGTCTGTCACATGGATTCCTTTCAGTCGCCTGGAGGACTGACATGCAGTCATGAAGGAAGACAGTTTTGCTGTGTTTAATGTTGCTTTCCCTAAGTACTTTGGTTGCATCAATAATTGCCTACTGTTCTGCTCTGAAGTTTGTGGAAAGTTTCCCAAAGGCACACGACGTTTCTATCGTGATACCATTTTGCTGCAAGGTAATCAAACCAGCTCCTACGTTTTTTTTTTTGCCGCTCCCTCCAGTGTTCCTTCGATGTTCTCCATTTGTGTATACGTGTATCCCTTTGGGTTTTGGGTAGGAGTTGTAGACATGTTCAAAGGTCTTTGCATGCAGTACTAGGTCGCTTTCTTTAGTCCTTCTGACTATGCCTAGGATTGTTATTGTGTTGTTGCTTAGGATTGTTATTGTGTTGTATAGTTATGTTGTAGAACCATGTTGTATGCCCGGATCATTTCCCACCTTGCTGGATCTTTGTTTTGGGGGCAAATATTTTTGTTTTGTTTTGTTTGAAAGATGGTGGAAGCTTGATCTTTTCAGTCCTTTGGGGAGATGGAGTCAAGTTGGTATTCTGTCAGCGGGGTGTTGTTTTATGTATGTAATTATTTCTGTCAGTGTAAGCAGCTTTTCTTCCCTTGAAAGGCTCAAGCCCTGGAGGCCATGTAGTAAAGGAATGAACAGGAAGGGTCAACAAGTACAGCTGAGAAATTACCACAGGGAAACTTTTGACACTGAAATGAGGGGATAAGGGTAGAGGAACAATGAAGATTTCGGGGCGCTAAGACGAACATCAACACCAATCCATTAATGAGCCACAGGGCAGCCGGCACACCAGGATTATAGATTAGGACGCTGGTCGGACAACGCCACACGAGATACCGGACATAACCCTTTACGTCAGATAGAGAGACAACTAACCATAAACCAAGGGTGATAAGTACGGAAGGCTGAAGGGCGACAGAGACGTGAAAGATCAACCAGGCTTAGAGGCAACGCAAAAGCGCGGGAAAAGGGAGAGAATAGACAGGCCAGAGGCGTGGAACAGACAAGTCGAGGTGGAAAAGTAGCTTGTAAACATAGCAGTTTACGAATGAGATGGCAAGAAAATGACAGACTGGTTAAGAGTAACTGAGATATACCTGCTTCGTTAGAAGAAAGATAAGTCTAGTCCGTGTTAGAAGAAAATTTACAACAATCAATAACAGCCTATAATCTATTACAAATGTGCAACAAACGATACCACAACTTATATAGAGTTGTTCGTCGTTATTGTGTATGGATGAAATTATTATCATTATCATCATATATATAGCACACTATCCTTACGTCCTTTTTAGGACGTAATTTTTTGTTATTTGAAGCCCCACTCTGGTATTTGCCAGGGGTCGCAATATAGGCAGGCCATAAATATGGCCAAATGTCTGAACGCGGTTTCTGGGACCTCTCCACGGTGATCCTCATCCGCATGGTGGCACTTTGAGTCATCGGGTGTTTATCGCTTGTGTGATGTCCTGGTGGGGTAGAAAATCAGTCAGTCATCATCATATATAAATTGACATCATGCTGCATAAACAACAATCTTAATTTCATACGCTGTGTTGCATCACTGGCCGTGCTGGTAAACACAATTGACATACAAACTTTATCCATTATATTTTGTTCTGATCGGCACAGTTGATTGAACTTCAGTGACTGTGGAAAGTCAAAATAGTGTCACACAGACGTTGTCACACAGACGTTGTCACACAGACGTTGTCACACAGACGTTGTCACACAGACATTGTCACACAGACGTTGTCACACAGACGTTGTCACACAGACGTCGTTTGCTTGAAGTCATTGACTGGTGTATTTCTTATACCTCCAGTGATGACTCTAAGACCAGTCTGCTCTTTTATGTCTAGTTTGTTAAATTTGAGTTGGCTACAGTTGAGTATGCTCTCATGCCATACACCAGTTTTACCTATTCTGTGTATACTTGTAATGTGTTAGCAGTAGTTGAAACCTAGACCTAGTTAGGTTTGCCACTACGATCGAATCTTTCATTATTTGTATGAATATGAATAATGAATTTTCTTCTGTCATTGTTTAGCTAAAGCTGAGATATTTTATTCATATTATAACTATCAATAGTTGACAGGATTTTTTCTGCGCTTGTTGCTGAAGATGGTGATAGGGCGTTTATGGGAATGTCCCTAGGGCTAGGAATGGGCTGTTAACTTACAACTGATGGCTCACAACCTTAGAAAGATGAATAGCTTTAAACTGACAACACAACAATTTGACTTGACGTGTTTCCTTACGATACGTCATTGGCTAAGGCTTCACCATCTTGTGGGTAGCGCTGTAGGACCTCGTTATTGTGGTTCAACAATTCCAAGAACATGCCTCCCTGTTGTGGAGAAAGGTGACGATTTTACAATCAGAATCAGTCAATCCATCAATCCCGTTTTCGATCACTCAAGCAATCTTGGTCACTTTTGTTAACTTTTGAAAAACAATGCATCTCTCTCTCTCTCTCTCACACACACACGAACACACACACAAACACTCGCCAACACACACACGCACATACTTTATTTCATTCAGTCACCTCTCTTTATTTATTGATGAGTGTATCGATCAGCTGATCTGACGACTGTCGTTACAATTGTCACACAGTTCTGTATGTGTAACAGTCCACACAACCCAATCTTATCAAGACTGTCCTTACAATTGTCACACAGTTCTGTATGTGTAACAGTCAACACAACCCAATCTTCCCAAGTGTCAGACACCTTTTATAGGTGTGACACAAGTAGAATTGTTATTTGTGCCAGGTGTACCCACACTTCCATGAACATGTAAACGCTGATGACCTTGTTCCAGTTCTTAAACAATGTTTATTTAAGAAACTCTTGATAACTGCAAAATTAGTATGTTTATTTAGGAACTCATGATAATTGCAAAGTTAGTATGGCTTCCACTACTGAGCAGCCACAGATTTTATTCGTATGGTTCATAAGCACACTAATCTCAGGTAGTCACTGGCTAAATACATCAACATTACGCTGGTATAGCTGATCACAAACTCATCCTCGCAATATGAACAAAGTCATGAGAGGCTAGCTGATGCCTCTATAGCAATAATTCCGTATCCTCCTAACTACTTACACTTAACTTTATAATCCGGCTTTATACCACAGAAACACTTGTCACCAGTATGAATAACCACTACTGTTCTGTTCAGTTTTAAATCCAGTCCATTCCAAGCGAAAAACAATTCCAACCTTTTAAAAAGGCCCCAAACAAACACATCCGTTCACTGGACTGTCCAACTACTAACTGCCGTGTGTCACTCTACCTGTTTGTCCAGTCCCCGTGTAACCTCCCCACTCAGTTACCTGTTTCGCCGTGCGGGTCTACACACAAGCCGTCTGACCAGTAATTGACCTGTCTGTTGTTATGAGTCAGTCTAGTCGTTGTTTGTCTTTATCTCACAGTGTGTGGTAAAGTTGACTCATGACACCAAGACTGTCCTTACAATTGTCACACAGTTCTGTATGTGTAACAGTCAACACAACCCAATCTTCCCAAGACTGTCCTTACAATTGTCACACAGTTCTGTATGTGTAACAGTCAACACAACCCAATCTTTCTAAGACCGTCTGTTGTCTGTGTTAGAAAGTCAACTGTGTCACATGTCTTGTGTCTATTTTTCCGTTTGTTTGTTTGTTCCTCCGTCTATCCACACATTTAAAAATAAAATCCACATAGGCCACAGTTAAAACCTTGTCATTCTGGTGAAGGCTCTAGCGTATCATTAAGTTTTGTTGATATAGATATTCAGTTTGTTGATATAGATATTAAGTTTTGTTGATATAGATATTCAGTTTGTTGATATAGATATTAAGTTTTGTTGATATAGATATTAAGTTTTGTTGATATAGATATTAAGTTTTGTTGATATAGATATTCAGTTTGTTGATATAGATATTAAGTTTTGTTGATATAGATATTCAGTTTGTTGATATAGATATTCAGTTTGTTGATATAGATATTAAGTTTTGTTGATATAGATATTCAGTTTGTTGATATAGATATTAAGTTTTGTTGATATAGATATTCAGTTTGTTGATATAGATATTAAGTTTTGTTGATATAGATATTCAGTTTGTTGATATAGATATTCAGTTTGTTGATATAGATATTCAGTTTGTTGATATAGATATTCAGTTTTGTTGATATAGATATTCAGTTTGTTGATATAGATATTAAGTTTTGTTGATATAGATATTCAGTTTGTTGATATAGATATTAAGTTTTGTTGATATAGATATAAGTTTGTTGTATAGATATTAGTTTGTTGATATAGATATTCAGTTTGTTGATATAGATATTCAGTTTTGTTGATATAGATATTCAGTTTGTTGATATAGATATTCAGTTTGTTGATATAGATATTCAGTTTGTTGATATAGATATTAAGTTTTGTTGATAAAGATATTAAGTTTTGTTGATATAGATATTCAGTTTGTTGATATAGATATTCAGTTTGTTGATATAGATATTCAGTTTGTTGATAAAGATATTAAGTTTTGTTGATATAGATATTCAGTTTGTTGATATAGATATTCAGTTTTGTTGATATAGATATTAAGTTTTGTTGATATAGATATTAAGTTTTGTTGATATAGATATTAAGTTTGTTGATATAGATATTAAGTTTTGTTGATATAGATATTCAGTTTTGTTGATATAGATATAAGTTTTGTTGATATAGATATTCAGTTTGTTGATATAGATATTCAGTTTTGTTGATATAGATATTCAGTTTTGTTGATATAGATATTAAGTTTTGTTGATATAGATATTAAGTTTTGTTGATATAGATATTCAGTTTGTTGATATAGATATTCAGTTTTGTTGATATAGATATTCAGTTTGTTGATATAGATATAAGTTTTGTTGATATAGATATTCAGTTTGTTGATATAGATATTAAGTTTTGTTGATATAGATATTAAGTTTTGTTGATATAGATATTCAGTTTGTTGATATAGATATTAAGTTTTGTTGATATAGATATTCAGTTTTGTTGATATAGATATTAAGTTTTGTTGATATAGATATTAAGTTTTGTTGATATAGATATTCAGTTTGTTGATATAGATATTCAGTTTTGTTGATATAGATATTCAGTTTGTTGATATAGATATAAGTTTTGTTGATATAGATATTCAGTTTTGTTGATATAGATATTAAGTTTTGTTGATATAGATATTAAGTTTTGTTGATAAAGATATTAAGTTTTGTTGATTTAGATATTAAGTTTTGTTGATATAGATATTCAGTTTTTTTTGTTATAGATATTCACAAACAGCATTCTGTCAGATAGCTATGTCCTTCTGTTCTCGTTCGCTGACTCAGTCACTAAATCATTCACTCTTAGCCACCCGCCCACACACCTGCCTACCACACTCACTCACTCACTCTTAGCCACCCACCCACACACCTACCTAACACACTCACTCATTCAGTCTTAGCCACCCGCCCACACACCTGCCTACCACACTCACTCACTCACTCTTAGCCACCCACCCACACACCTACCTATCACACTCACTCACTCAGTCTTAGCCACCCGCCCACACACCTGCCTACCACACTCACTCACTCACTCTTAGCCACCCACCACACACACACCTATCACCTATCTTAGCCACTCACACAGTCTACCACACTCACTCACTCACTACCACACTTAGCCACACACCACCCACACACCTACCTCACACTCACTCACTCACTCTTAGCCACCCGCCCACACACCTGCCTACCACACTCACTCACTCACTCTTAGCCACCCACCCACACACCTACCTATCACACTCACTCACTCAGTCTTAGCCACCCGCCCCCACCTGTCTACCCACACTCACTCACTCTAAGCCACCCACTACACACCTACCTATCACACTCACTCACTCAGTCTTAGCCACCCGCCCACACACCTACCTATCACACTCACTCACTCAGTCTTAGCCACCCACCCACACCTACCTATCACACTCACTCACTCAGGCTTAGCCACCCGCCCACACACCTGCCTACCACACTCACTCACTCACTCTTAGCCACCCAACCACACACCTACCTATCACACTCACTCACTCAGTCTTAGCCACCCGCCCACACACCTGCCTACCACACTCACTCACTCTTAGCCACCCACCCACACACTACCTATCACACTCACTCACTCACTCTTAGCCACCCACACACACCTACCTATCACACTCACTCACTCACTCTTAGCCACCCACCCACACACCTACCTATCACACTCACTCACTCACTCTTAGCCACCCGCCCACACACCTGCCTACAACACTCACTCACTCACTCTTAACCACCCACCCACACACCTACCTATCACACTCACTCACTCAGTCTTAGCCACCCACCCACACACCTACCTACCACACTCACTCACTCACTCTTAGCCACCCGCCCAAACACCTGCCTACCACACTCACTCACTCAGTCTTAGCCACCCGCCCACACACTTGCCTACCGCACTCACTCACTCACTCTTAGCCACCCACCCACACACCTACCTATCACACTCACTCACTCAGTCTTAGCCACCCACCCACACACCTACCTATCACACTCACTCACTCAGTCTTAGCCACCCACCCACACACCTACCTACCACACTCACTCACTTACTCTTAGCCACCCGCCCACACACCTGCCTACCACACTTACTCACTCAGTCTTAGCCACCCACCCACACACCTACCTATCATACTCACTCACTCAGTCTTAGCCACCCACCCACACACCTACATATCACACTCACTCACTCAGTCTTAGCCACCCACCCACACACCTACCTATCATACTCACTCACTCAGTCTTAGCCACCCACCCACACACCTACCTATCACACTCACTCACTCACTCTTAGCCACCCACCCACACACCTACCTATCACACTCACTCACTCAGTCTTAGCCACCCACCCACACACCTACCTATCACACTCACTCACTCACTCTTAGCCACCCACCCACACACCTACCTACCACACTCACTCACTCCTTGAAAATGACAAAGTATGGAAGCTACCCTTCAATAATAAGAGCAACACGCATGTCTAAGGAAGCCACTGTGGTGTAACGCTAGACACTTGCTTGCGGATCCGGAGGTCGCGGGTTCGAATCCGACCTTTTTTCTCCAAAAATGACCTTGACTCTCAGGTCGACTAAATCTTAAACAGGTCCTTGGTAAAGTCCTTGGAGGTAAAGGCTGCCGGTGTGATGCCGACCAGGTCGTCAAAGAAAGTAATATTTCTTGTACAAGATGCTTATTCTTCTAGGGGCAGCTCCCTGGACAAAAACTGAG